TAGGTACTAGAAAAGGAAAACGAGGCCACACGTTATTATATTGATGTGGTTTAGAGGTCAGGTAGGATGTGACAGAATTTTAATTAGTTTCGAATTTGTTTATTGTTTTATTATTAAAGAATCAACCTATACCTACTAATCTTTATAATACTGTTTGATTGTCAAGAGTTGGGTACCTATTTATCTCACCTACCTATCTTCACATTTTTACCCAATCCTCATTCTATAAAAAAGTCGGTTTTCAGAGTCGTACCTACCTAATCAGTTCGTGAATGGGTGGGTGTAAGTATTGAATAAATAATTGATATTCGGTTATCGGTGAATACAATGATCATGAATGAGAGAGAATAAGTGTAAGAATTCCAGAAACGCAAAAATACATCTCATTTAAGCATACCTATATAGTATGATCGTTTTGCTCGTCATGGCTACCTAGGAACACAGAACGCCAAAATAAAATGAAAAACTTGAATAATAAACAAGCTTAACTCAACATCAAGGTTTTGAAAAACAACAACAGGAGAACAGTTAGAGAGACAAAAAACTCGAAAAAACGAGTTACTAAAAACGTGTAATATACACGTACCTATATCATTTCAAACGGGCCAACTCTATATCTCATCAAGCAAAATTATATTCGTGCGATTCTTAACAACTTTGGACCAGTTTCAACAGCCATCATATTATTATTATGATCAGTTTTTCAGAGACGAACATCATAATATTGTCCAAAAAAAAAATTGGCACATTTAAGCATTATTTATGCGAACGTGAATTATTCATCACTCGGAAACGGTGAGTTCAACAAAAAAAGTGTAATATCTTGTTTTTTCTTTCAAATCATAATTTTCTACCGGAGGTATATATTTAACTTTACAAAATTTGCAGCTGATTTGAATTCACACAAAATGAAAAAAGTAGAGCCAATCCTAATATGATTTCATAAAAAATCGACCTTTTTTTATTACAATAAAAACACACGGTAGTGTCCAAAAGGACGAATCGCACGACTAATAGCTGCAATATAGAGGGGGGGGGTTAAAGTGAGGAACGCTGTATATAATATAGCTCTTGGTTTTTGCTACAGTGAACAATCGACAGATTCTAGCAGAGGGGGCAAAACTATTGAAAAATGCGCCGCAGGCGAAACTATTTGGTCCGAAGTCAAATACCTTCAAGTTGACGGTTAGGAGCATACTTTGATGCATTATTTCATATGCCAAAAAATTAGTTCATCTTCATTCTTTAAAAAACAGAAAATCAATAATATGGTTAAATTGGTTTTCCTATAACTGTTTTTTCTTCATGTAGTTTGATAACTAACTTGAATTATTATTGTACTAGGCAATTGTTCTTTTCAAAAAATTGAAGAAAAACCGAAAATCCACTTGAAAAAGAGTACTGAAACAATTATTGTGATACATTTATAATTCAGTCATAATTTCCAATCAAGAAATAAAATTTCCAATCCCCACCTTTTGTGAAAATATATTCAGCACAATATTTTGTTGAGTCCGCCCCTGGTTTCCGTGGTCATTGAACCGAGAGTTCCGTTATTAGCCGTTGACTCATTGTTTTCGAACAGCCCAATGATAATGATGGAGTTCAGTGGCGTTGAACACACTGTTTACGTCTGTTCTACAGTTGGCCACACTGCGTTAAGCGCCGTTCACAACAAAATATTTTACGTTTTGCGTTTTACGTTTCACATGTTTCACTATTATCAGTGGATTCGAATTGCTGTGGTATTATTGTATCACCAAACAATATCATCGTGTTACCAATTACATTAGGAAGCAACACTCAAAATGTGAAAAGTTTCGATGGCTTGTAATTCAATGAAATTGTGAACAGCGCTTTAGTTGGTTCCATCACCAACGGTAGCGCCTAAAATGAGTCAACTGTCCGATTCTGATTTCAAAGAAGTTTCTCTTCGGACCTGATATTTATTTCAATCATAGATTGAACCAACCAATATTCCACAAAAACTGTATATATTTCATTGCATTCTTATTTTTTGAGTGTGTTACTCATCTAACGAAAACATTCACCATCGGCTCTGTGGCGTTGTTTTTTTCTATTATAAATCAACATTTTCTTTGGTGTACAGTTTCTCTTATCACCCTGTGAATATTTCTTGCACTTGTAGAATTATGACTATGCAGAGCTTTTGACATTGATGAAAGTGATTCTTAAATCTTTGATTTTGAGTTGTCACGCTTGTAGAGAATTTTATTTTGCTTCGTAATTTTGTATTTTTAATTTTTTTTTGTGATCAGTGTTGCCAACATTATAAAATAATAATTTATAGTGTACCTACATTTGTGCGTGGTGTGGTTGTGACAGGAATTTTTTTTGGGATGTAGTTTTTTGCATCACCTTGTATATATGTATAGCCAAGACACCTTGTACATATTTTCTGCATAAATGCAAAGCTGAGGCAATGGGAGAGATCGATTTAATGAATTATTTTTTTTTTGTTTTATTTTTCATTGATCAGTGTTGCCAACATTAGAAAACACTAAATTATAGTGTACATTTGACAATTCAAGGAAATATTCAATTTCAAAATTTACAGTAAAAAGATTATTTGCACTTTTGACACTCCATATTCAAAATTGAGTTTATTTTTGAAATCCATCGATCGAAGTAATAATTATTCTAAACACTATTCAAAATTATATATCAATTATTCTTGAATATTTGTAGGTGAAGTATTTTCATTTCAAAAGTTGCGGTTGATATTTGAATATACAGTGCGCAAAAAAAGTCCTACCAAGACGATGATGAGTTGATGACATCCGAGAAGTCGGGCCGTTGATAGCATCAACATCTACACAAAATTTAGATTTCTTCTTATTTGATATTTTTTCATGGTAATTCCAAACCCGGGTGGACAGAAAACTCGGAGATCTTTCTCTTTTGAACCATGCGCACTATTTAGGTTCTGCTGTAATGCTATCTGCTAACAGATATGGGGGGAAGTAAGTTTGTTTAGTTCCTTAAGAGGTGACTTCTCCTTTTTTAAATGATATTTTGATCTCTCTCTTCAGAAGAAGTTGCATCGATCCAATTTTTGCATTCAGCGAATTTAATTTGAATGTTTGTGGTTCTACGCTTCATTTGTGGACCATTTCAAGTGTCTTCTCCATGCCATTTATAATATGTATTGGTTTGGTCGGTTTGGTCAATCGTGACGTGACCTTTCCTACTTATAGGGTTTAATTGAAAAGTTGTGGGGTCATCTGTTGAGCAGTAGACGGACCCCAGTGTCGGACCTATATTGAGAACATGACTTTTCTTGGCATTTCAATGTTTCCAACTGTAGGACACACAATTGACCCTTGAGGTATTCTATTTTTGCAAACATCGATTTTTATCTTAAATGTAACTAGCAATAAATACCTATAGTATAATCTTAATTACTTCGCCATTGTCTCAACCTCGACAGATGTAGATTGAGTCAAATTGTCACCCAAATTTGCATATACTTGAAAATATTTCATGTACAGGGTGTTACGTATTTTCATGTATTTTGAAACGCGTTTAGTGAGCTATGATCTTGTGGGTTGTGTGTTTCGTGGATTGGACAACCATGTCATTATGTTTTTTTAAGTTTTATTGCTTCTAATCTACGAGTATATGGTCATGGTCGAATTATGTCCCAAAAATCTCGAATCTTATAATGACGGTCACCGCGATTCCGACGAATATGCTACGGTCTCAGTTTTGAGTCACAGATCAAAAATTGCCACCTTTTTTCTTATCAATTATTTCATATATATTGAATTAATTAATTGAATGCCCACCACTGAACTACTTAATTATTGGAAGTCAATGATCTCGAATGATAAAGTAAATATCCCCGATTACAGTGACTCCAGCGAGTAAACGCCCTCTGTTATACGACTAACGATTTGTCAAAAATTACAGGGATTGATTTGTTTCGTTCGAGCAGTCCACCACTAGATGGTGCTATAATTTCTGTAGTTAGTTCAGACATTGCCTACTGGATAGCGTATCAGTACTGCTGAAACATTCAATATAGGTGTTTTTGGTATAAATTATCAACTTGCGTTCATTATAAGGCCATCATGAAGTGAATTTGAGTTTGCTTATCCTAAAAGTTAATCATTTGACTATTCTGTCACATGTGTAGCGCCATCTCTTGTATATAAGCTGAACTGTTCAATTTACAGAAATCTTCAGTCATCATTGCAATGCTTCCAACTGTAGAATACACCAAATTATAGTGTACAGAGAAGGTGTTGCCAATGTTAAAATTCTTAATCTTTTGTTGACATGACGTGGTTTCATGATCCTCATCTTATCATCTCTCATTATTGCATAATTATTAATAGATAATGATAATATGTCGATTGCGATTCCGTTTGTAATCTTCCACATAAGTCTGTTCCATCGCCAAGACGGGTGCATAATTGGAATTACAAGATGATCATCCGATTAGACTGAGAATCAAAGTAATAAAGAAATACCTATGATCTGTGATGATGATTCAATGATCATGGCTAAGATCCCGCGAAGCGTAATCATTTCAATTATCATGGACTGATAAAAACTCAAAAAAGTGATGTTGCGTCAAATAATCTATCATTGCTAGGACATCAGACATTTTAATAGTACATGAATAGTTCAAAATTTCGGAAAAAATATTTCAATCCTCCCATATTTCTCCTTATGAAAATCCAAATTGCTTGTTGAGTCGGATAACGGGGTCGGGGCTTTAGACAATATCAAGTGACGGACTGAAAGCTAGGTTAGGTTTTTTGTTTTCTTTTATTCGTGCATGCATGTTTTTATGTCAAAAAAACTGTTTTTTTTATGAGAAATGGTCATATGATCATGATCGAATTTCAGGATCTCGTAGAGAAATATCTAAGCAAAATGATAACGTTTAAAGTATCTGTATATTCATTCATGAAATGTACGTTTTTCGAATATTGTTACAAATATTTTATATTTGTCCTTTTTTCTTCTAGGACTTTCACCGAAATAAAGCAGTTACTTACCTATCCTCCAGAAGGCAAGGGAAGAATTGCCATCAACACTGAAGATTACATATGCTTGGGACAAGATCAGTTCTTGAATGATGTTATTATAGATTTCTATTTGAAATATCTGGTAGCCAATCTGCCAGATGAACAGAAACCAAAGGTTCATGTATTTTCAACGTTCTTCTATAAAAGACTCACCACTAAACCAACCAAAGCATCAAGGTATGTGAAACTGACACTTGTGCTTGGCTTCCAAACATCATCATCATCATTCCTATTTGATGTCCTTTTTTAGAAAATCTCAACCAGCTGAATTGGACCCTACTCTTTCTGGTCCTGAGAAGAGACACGCGCGGGTGAAAAATTGGACTAAAAACGTGAATCTTTTTGAGAAAGATTTTGTAGTAGTACCTATCAATGAGAATGCTCATTGGTTTCTTGCCATCATCTGTTTTCCTGGGATGGATGGTTGCCAAACTTGGGATGGACAGCCCTATAAACTTGAACCAGCCAGGTCAAGGGTCAAAAGTAAGTGGTTTTCTGGTAGTGATACATGTTTACACAATGGATGGATAGATGGTTGTAATCTGGGGGGGGGGTCGTTAATCTATGGTTTTACATACTTGTATGATTTTTTTTTCATATAAATCATGGACTTCTGTTGGAATTTTTCTGAAAATTTGTTTCATCTGGTTTGATAATCTACTGAAAGTTCACAAAACAATATGTTGTTTTCTCCTTCCTTGTATTTTCAAGAGATTCTTATTGATCTTATTGGGCTTGTCATATTTCACATTATTTCAGTAGTATTTAAAATTGATGAAAGCTCTTAAAATTCATGTCTTCTTTAAATTGGTATTAGAAATGATGATTGATACAAGGAGACCATGATTTTGGTAGCTGATCTACAACTAAAAAGTCCAATACTTTTTTGTATATTCATTATTTTGACATTATTATTATTATTATTATTATTATCCTGAAAATTTGACATGTTTCTAATATTAGAGTCCTCATACATTCCAATTTACAGATTGATGCTATGACCAATATTTGAGCAACATTTTATTTTTGCTGTTGGGAATATATCCCCATAAAACAATTATATTGGATTCATTGTTTCTGAAGAACATTATTATATATAATACATCATTTTAGTTGGGTTGCCAGAGGCTAATTATAGAGATTCCACCCACTCCCTATTAATTCAATAACTTTTTGCCATATGATGAAAAATATGTCGCATTTCAATCTACCTTTTGAAGAAAATCAAGATGAAAAATTGATTGAGATTGAAAATTGGCCTTCTTCACGGCTTCTCCTGTATTATTGTAACATTTCGTGTCTGTCTACTAAAAATTATCGGACTTGCAGTACCAATACAGAAGCAGAATTGACTCACATGTGACCAGCCAACCTCGTTTTTTCAGTGATACAATTTTTGACATTTAAAACAAATATGTCGCATTTCAATCTACCTTTTGAAGAAAATCATGATGAAAAATTGATTGAGATTGAAAATTGGCCATTTTCACGGTTTCTCCTGTATTACTGGGACATTTTTTGTCTACTAAAAATTATTGGACTCACAGTACCAATACAGAAGCCAAATTGTCCCACATGTGACCAGCCAACCTCGTTTTTAAGTGATAAAATCTTTGACATTTAAAATGTAAATTATATGTTGGAAGCCAGAATGATGGATGCAGTGTGCGCAACTCTCGCGAGGCGCTCGTTCATTGTCTCGATCATAAAATAGTCATAGGAGTACAACAGGTGATACTTTTTTCCTAGAAATGTCACCGAATATTTCCTGCAAAATAGCTTCACATAATATATTGCAATCTATTTTATTCCTCTTTTCTTCAAATGACTTGACTATAAACGCGTTGGTGTTTCTAAGCCTTTGGTATGCACATACATATTTTATTTTCACCTAGCAAAACGCAGATTATTTTTTTACTTTTGCTTTTATGTTTTTATGATCATATAAATTGTGTATAATGAGGTTATGAGTTGATAGTTCAAATTATAAAGGAACATTTCATTTCATTCTTTTTAGAGCGTTTGAATGAAAGCTTCTTAATATTTTTTTCTCATTTTCAGTTCATTTTCTAATTTTTAGTTATCGCTGGTTAGGTTTCTAGGTCTGTTAATTTCATTCAACTAATCATCGTTGCAAGGTCGTTTGCCGGTTAATTTCGAACAGTTCAGCTCTTCAATAAGGAGACCTAATGATTTTACACATTATTTTTCTAGTTGCTTTTGTTGCTATTCCGCCATATTGGATAGTCCGGCATATTGGATTCAACAAGTCCTTTCATTTGATATCCATATTGTGGAAGTGCATTAAAAATAACTATTTCACCATCTTGGATGGTCCGCCATATTGGATTTACAATAAGATATCTACCTCAAAATTGAGTTCAAAGATTCGATGTCATCCGATGTTGTTTGGCTCTCATTTTTTTTTTCTAAATGAAATGCTTCGATTCTGTTTTTTGATTATGTTTATCTCAACCTTTAGAATTTTATTGATCAAGTCGAGAAGATGATATCGGTCAATTGGGCGCCGCCACAATTGTTTGCTATAGGGGCTCGTTTTATGCATTTTTTATCACTTCGGCGAGAATTTCGGGCGACAGATGGTCGCACTCGTGTTGAATGTTGTCCTTGAGGGCTTCCAGGGTCTCGGGCTTGTTCACGTAAACACGGAACTTAAAAAAAAAAACACCAAAAAGGTCTGGAACGGTTAAATCGGGAGATCTTGCGGGACAGTGCAAATATCCAAAGCGAGAGATGAGGCGATCCGAGAACGCCACCTTCAGAATATCGGTTGTGGCTCGCGCAGTGTGTGCCGTTGCTCCGTCCTGTTGGAACCACATGCCCTCCAGTCCTAATTCGTTCAATTGCGTTAGAAAAAACTCAGTTAACTTGGCCCTAAAGCGCGCACCGTCCACTGTTGTCGTTTGACCAGCGGCGTCGTCGAAAAAAATGGCCCGATGACTTCTCCAGAGTGAACAGCGCACCATGCAGTCACTTCGAGCGGGTGTAATGGCTCCTCGTGCATCACTCGTAGATTTTCGGTGCTCCAGAAGCGATAGTCCTGCTTGTCCACGTACACGCTGAGGTGGAAATGAGTCTCGTCGCTCATTATGATTTTGGTAGAAAAATCGTTAACTTCGTCCACGAGATTGAGGATGGCTTGGATTGGATTATTCCGCGTTCTTGGGGAGTGTATCGCTCCATGGCTTGTTCACTTGTACTACATCTGTTTTGTTCACGTAAGAACAGATTTGACATTGACCGCCATTTGCAAAAATAAGAGCTACTTCCAATAGGGTGATTTCTTTTGGCCCACCTAGTACATACAACTAGGAAAAAGCCAAATACCCTAAGTGGAATGTAATGGTTACAAATAAAGAGAAACTCAAAGTCATTACCACAATAGGTCATAAAATGAACGAAAATGGTAGATAACGAGAGAAAAACAACTACTTTCCTGGCTATATGCCACGCAGAACATTGGATTACTTCCTTCCGAAATCTATGCAATAATTCGTATAGACGAATAAAATCGCAAATGTTTCTTTCCTAAACGCCTAGCTGCGCCTAAATGGTTCAATACAGGACTGCCCCAGATAGCTTCTTGACCGCTATCTGGTGCGAACCTGACCCAACATAAACGCATCTCAGCATTTATACCTCATGAGGCGTTCAACGTCCGCGAGATGAAACGCGAACGCCGAATGCCACCAGGCAGGGAAAGAAACACTCCAAAACAAGATTCCATTTCAGGCGCAAAATGGGTGTGGCTGGTTGCCCGACTGGCGTATTTTGAACTAGGAAAAAGCTCTCCATTTGTAACCATTGCATTCCACTTTGAGTATTTGGCTTTTCGCTCATGCTGCAAACTTCATTCTCGTAGGAAATCACAATCATTCCGTGGTCGTTAAACAATATACTATTAACTTTTGATGAATATAAAAAAATGTCGACGTTAAAGAAACAACAAGAAGAAAAATACTGTTTTAATTTACAGAAAAGCTACCGATAGCGACGATAGGCGCCGTCTCGGTCACGGCCGTGAAGCAGGAAAAGGCGAAGCCGATCCTGTGCGACGATCCGGAGACGAGCGACAAGGACGAGGCGGAGGGCGACGACAGCGAGCTGGAGTCGGACGATTCGGAGGAGGCGCCGGCGGCCGTGCAGCCCGCGAATCCCGCTGTGCTCGCGCTTGTCCCGCAGGCGGCCAAGGGGCACAAGGAGGTTCGGCCGGCGATCAAACAGTAAGGGCAACTTTATAAAAAACTTTAAGACTTAAGATTTATCACCTAACATTCAAGGCTTATTACTAATGACAGATGGAACATGGAAACATCATTGGTTATGTTATAATACCATTTAAGACTTATGATTCAACATTTAGGATGATGACCAACTTCCAACTTGAGAAGTGCTGGTGAATGATCAGGCGCGGTCGCAGCACTCGCAGCCCAATCATTTGGGGGGGTCAACTTAAAACAGGAGAGGACAATTTTCATTTTCTTTTTAGATAACTCATTTATTTTATTTTAATCATTTTACATAAGTTATTGAAGTAACCCTCGGAAGCCCTTGAAAGGCTTGTGCGACGGGATCTCCAGTTTGAAGAAGTGGAAATCAAACAACTGTGACATTTAGGCTCCATTCCATATGATAACCATGCACTGAGCATAATTTTACCCAAATTCAAGAAGCGCCAAGCTCAATAATCGAACCCACGACCTCTTGATTACAAGCAGTGTGATCGCCTACCCGTTTGACATTCGATGGTAACGGCTAAGCCCGTTAGCCTCTCATCTAACATTCTTCCTCTTAGCCATGTTTACAGGCGCCTCTAAGAAGATAATTACCTTTCTGCTGTGGCGGCGCTATTGGGGATGGTTGCTAAAATTTTCAGTAAAATCTTGATATTAGGATTTAAGTCATTGTCAGAAACTTCAATTGTAGAAGGGACACAAAACTGGCCACGTTTGAACTATTTTCTGCGAGCTCTCCCCTCCACTTTAAAATCCATAGCTGATACTCTGTAACGACCGAAGAAGCAGGAACTCCCAGATAATGGGTATAGAATTCTGCTGCCTCCTTCACATGTATTAGGTCACCCCCGGTGTATTCTGATTTTGGCATAAAAATTCCTAAGCCAAACAGGTTCAAAGTATCTTCAGAAAGGCGGTCTTTCAGATCATTCGTTACGCTGTCCAGTAATGGAATCTAAACAGTTCTTGGGTAATATTCTTCTTGGTTCGTGATTATAGCGATGAGTCTGTCGAGATACAGTACGTGGTGCAGATTTTTGGGGGGGTCATGACCCCTGTGACCCCCCCCCCTCGGACCGCGCCTGTAAATGATCATAAATGGAATAAGGAGTGCGCATCCAAAAGTGACATCTTCCCGCCATTCAAAAATAATTCAGATTATCTTGTGTTGTTATTCCTGAATATTTGTTTTTCTTCTGATTGATACTGAACCGTTCTTCAAAAATACACTAGAATGTCGCAACTCTGTTACACATTATTGTTGGCCTTGACAAACTCCACATTTGGTGTCATTTAACCGACCTCGTATCTCTCACCGTTAAAAAGATACCCATGGTGAGCATGGTAAGAGGGACACACTGTATATAATGTTGATATTTATGGAAATTATTTTTTAACAAGATGCTAAGATAGTTTGCGAAACACGTGTCGAGGCGTTTGAAAAATCGGTTTGGTTGGTGGTAAAACAGTAAAGTGTCTAAAAGAGAATGAACATATGCCTAATTTTCTTGCAGACCCTGTATACTGATATTCGACTCGCTGGCCGGCGCGAACAGGAGTCGCGTCGTCGCCACCCTCAGGGACTACCTGACTTGCGAGTACAAGCTGAAGATGGGCAAGGAACGGGTGTACAGCAAGGACGTGATCAAGGGCGCCAATCCGAAGGTGCCCCAGCAGAACAACTTCACCGATTGCGGGTTGTACGTGCTGCAGTATGTGGAGCAGTTCTTCAAGGTAATGATAATCTAAATTCTAAGCTAACATGATGATTTGTTAGGAGCATCCCGTGATGCCCAATTCCCACCTTCATGTCGACGATTACGAAGATTGCCGAAGAGTGCAACGTTGCCTGGTCAGGGGAAAAATTCATAAAAGATTTCCCACCATGGACACTTCATACATTCCTATGATGCCCAAATCCTACGATGCCCAATTCCCAGCATACTGGTTCCTTGGATTACCACCATGCCCACCTTTGTATTCCCACCATGATTGAGGTGGGCATTGTGGTAATTGGGTGGGGGGTATAGGAACAAGGCCTCAGACTACTTCACTTTCACAAATACAGAAACTCAGTCATTACCACAATAGTTCATAAAATGGACGAAAATGGTAGACAAAGAAACAAAAACAACTAATTCCCTGGGTATATGCCACGCAGAATATTGGATTACATCCTCCCGAAATCTATGCAATAATTCGTATAGACGAATGAAATCGCAAGTGTTTCCTTCTTAAATGCAGAGCTGCGCCTAAGTGGTTAAAAAACCCATGATTACCTGCAGACCGGTTTTGAGCTGTTGGCTCCCATCAGTGTAGGGCTGTCCCCGATACCTTCTTGACCGCTATCTGGTGCGAACCTGACCCAACAGAAACGCATCTCAGCATTTATACTCCACGAGCCGTTCAATGCCTGTGAAGGGAAAGCCAACGCCGAATACCACCTGGCAAGGAAAGAAACACTCCAACACAATATCTCATTTCAGGTGAAATGGGAGTGGCTGGTTGCACGACTGGCGTATTTTCAACTAGGAAAAAGACAAATACTCAAAGTGGAATTTGTGTTGACGTGCATCATGTCAACAGAGAGAACATCCTTTTTAGGTCCTAGGAGTGAAAGTTCAACTTTAGCTCCTAGAAACTAAGAGTGTTCCCTAGCAACACAGCTACCTATTTTTGTGTCAGTGATAGAACCATCAACTTCAAGAGCTAATTTTGGAATTAAAATGGACGACTTTTGAATCGGTTGCAGAAATACGGTATTTTTTGCTACCGGTGAAAAATCGCAACTTGATTGATGGGAGATGTAATTTTTTATTCTCGTAAACGTGCTTCATTGTTTGACAATGCACAAAAAAAAACAATTGAGAAAGAGGATCCGATGACTAACGCTAGACAAATAAAAATTCTGTGTACGGTGGTAAGGGGAAGGGGGACAAGAGATCATTGGGGTGATCACCAAACTGAGATTCCTGCGGCAGGACCATAATAAATATCTATTGAAATTTATGAAATATTCAATCGATATCCTATATCCTACCCCTTGGCTTGGATGGTTGTAAATAAAATCGTATACAAACCTCGGTAGAAAGTTTCATTCCTGTCTCGAAATTATAGCTAACCTCACGCCAGAAATGAATCACTTTCCACCTCGGTGTGTAATATACTATTTCTGAATGGTTTTGAGATCTGAAAAAAACATATATGGTCTCATTCAAATGTTGTAGATTGTTTGAAAAATAATAATCACTCGCGCCAACTCAATTCATAGATAACGATAATGATTATTCAATTTTTGTAGGATCCTATAAAAGACTACAATATACCCATTAAAGAGATTCAAAATTGGTTCGAGGAGGTAGTGGTTACCAGAAAGAGGGAAGAAATAGCTGATCTGTTGAGGAATTTGATGAGAGAGTATGGAAAAGATACGAGATTGCTTCCCGACATAAACTTTCCCACGGTGAACGGTGAGTATTATATGTTGATATTTTCAAGAGTGAAGTTGGCCCGAATATCAAAACAACGTTTTTTATGGAATTGGTCATATTAGCGAAAATGTATTCAAAACTGAAATGTATTTCTGATAACATACGATATTTTCATTTAATATTAGCCTAAAATACAACATTTGTTTGTAACAAAAAAATTATCGTTCAAATTGAAAAAAACCTCTGGTGCGCTAACTCTTCATTTCTATCATCAGACTGTTTCTTGATATAAACAATTGAATTTCTGACGATGACGTGGGGTTCATTTATTGAATGTTAGATGGCGTGATTCCTAGTGCGACTCAAGGTAGGTAGAACTTATGATCAATATCAGTTCTATCAACCTTGATGCTGCTAAATCGCAAAATGTATCCCCTATCTTCATTAGTCACAATCATATGTCTACTATTTCTTTATATAGCACATTGCCTATACTATACGATATCTCGACAAAAATGGGACCAAAATGAAAGGTACTTTTTGACTATGAGGACGGAAAATGAAGGATGGTTTGACAAGTTTTGTATTATTTTTCCCTACGTCGGCATCAACGCCTATTGGTCAATTTCGATACCAATAAAGACAGAAGTTGGCCTCCCTTTGATGAGAGCTATGCTTCATATATGAAAGGTAGTAGATATATGGTCACAAATTGTCACATTGATAGCTGTAATTTTGGCACGGCACCCAGACTTATAACGAATTCCATTGGCTGGAACTGGTGGAGTGTTTCTCCACTGAGTGTATATTCACCTCTGTCCAACACATGCGAGTAAGAAGGAAACATATACATTGAGTGCAGAAACTCTCCACCAGTTCCTGTCAATGGAATTCGCTATAAACTTAGGGAGATTCACCCACGCCATGTTATGTTTATCGAAGTAGGAAGTAGGAATTGTAAAACAGGAAAGGATTGAAGTGCGACAAGCGTTTAGCTAGAACAGCGAATCCCTCAAACCTTAAGGTTATCAGTGTTCTGTCCCTATAACTATAGTATTTTAATTTTCTTTTTTTTTTCATCATTATTTTATTTTTTACGTTTCAATATTTTATATAAACTAACATAGGTAGGTTATTCGTGTTTATAAGACTGATCAGATAATATGAGGGAGGAAAATCTTCTGCATGAAAAAGGCAAGTACTTCCAACCTAACTTGTCCTGAATGAACCTTTTTCCTGTAAAGTATATTGTTGAAAAATTAATTGAGTGAAAAAAAAATAACGCCTCGCAGGGATTGAACCTCAGCCACCAAAGTGGAAGTAAGATACATAGACCAATAAGCTATCGCTTCGCTCGTGGTAGCGCAGTTTCTCGATATAAATAAGGAAGAAATATTATGTGTTGTGGGTGACGTCACTTGACTTCGATGTTTGAAAGATTCGCTGGTGTAGCAGACGCTTCTTGAAGTGCGCACACCAGAGGTTTATTTCATCAATAACAGAACTATGCAAATAGCAGCAAATCACCACTGATGCGTTACATAGCCGGTTCGACCTGATTACTGCTTCCATGAGATCTGATGAAAACTCAATAATTTTGACAGTGACATCGATGCTATTCATATTTGACATCTGCTACCTTTGTAACAAACAGCCAACCTCACAATACCAAATGTCTAATCCATGAAAATTAGGGTCCCTTGATGCAAACTGACGTATTTGTGATCTAACAGGATACGGACAGATCATAGCTCCTTTCTCTTTCAATCATCTAGTGACTGGTTTCGTGTATTGGCGTCCCTGACATGACATTGCTGTCACGTCACATTCATAGGCGTTAAAAGAGATGTTAAAAAATTTTAATTTCATACTTTATCTTGATACGACACTATTCAATTCTGTTTTGGAAGGATGGTAAAATGTGCTGCGTTAGGCTGTATCAATCAGTTGGATGGCAAATTTGAATTTGTCAGCTTACCATCAAATGCAAATGAACTTAGAACATGGAAAGTGAAGTGACCGAATGGGGAAAATTGGTAAATACATCAGCAAAATATTCGAGGTGAACTAATACGAAATCACATATTATACTTTCTCATTGTGCCCATAATTATCCACTCCACAAGTTTTTGAATGCATTTTAGTAGAAACAGTTGGGTTTGAAACGGAGGATTAAAAGAAAAGGCATATGCCCTACATGAATATGAATATATACAGCACACACGACATATGAGCACATTAGTTTAAATACCCACATAACATTTTTCACCATTTCTCAACCATAAGGCTTAGTCTGAAACCAAAATTCATTTATTGATAGGTACTGCCTAAGAACAGTCCCATCTGGTAAACCGTATTAAACTTTCAGAAAAATTTGTTCACTGCCTCACAATGATTATGCTGGAGTTGAAAAATCAAAAACTCGAAAAGTATGATCATTTGGATATAATATGTAGAGTTGAATGAGAAATTACATGTGGAAACTACGTTTGATACGCCAATGTCCTCAATATAACCTAAAAAACAACAAATGTCAGAAATATAGTGTTTATCCCAAGAAATAAATGAAGATGGAACTATATAACTATTATACAAACACTTTAGAGTGAGAGGAGACGAGGATCTGTCTGTTAAGATGACAAATACGTCAATTTACATCAAGGGACCCTAATGAAAATATGTTCAATTCCAAAATGAAAATTTGACTACGCGGTACAGCAACGACCCCTTTAATCGATTCTGACCGACAAAAATTATTTGACAGGTAAAGTGGTCGAACACGATGCCGCAGAAGAAGAGGAAGAAGAACATGAAGCGATGGAGGAGGAAGAAGGCCCTTCAACAGCCGAAGAAGACGCCGACATGAAGGAAGGCTCCCTCCTTTCGAACAGCGGCTCCAAGTCGGACATGTTCTCTGAAGGGGGCTCGAGCGCGGACGAAACGAGGACGGACGGCTCCTTGTCGCCGCTGAAGCCCTCGAACGACGGCGTTTCCGGTGATTTTTTGTCGCAGACCGTGGTGAATCCCAAGCCGGACCTAAGTGAATTCCCCCGGCATACTAGCAAAGACACCCTGTCGATTTTGAAGGCGAAAAGGATAATCAGGCATAAGACGTTGGAGGGGCCGCAGCTGAAGCGGTCGCGGAGTGAACAAAACTGATTTTTTTAGGATGTTAGTTAGGAACTTTTTTGTTTATTGGTTATAATATTGCTTTTATTGTAATTACTTCATGTGTTTGTGGACTGTCAACGTCTCGGTTGCTGTTGGAAAGTATGGAGTGGGTTTTTATGAGGATGATACGATGAATTTTACTCTGCAGGGAGTTGTTGATAGTTTATGAACACCCGCGTTAGATTATAGGCGAACTGTATCTGCTGGAAAATTATTACAAATGATACGACCATATCATTGAGTTTTATTTCAATGTCCTTCTCATTGTTCTTATCCATCATTTGGTTGCAACCCCCTTACAAGCAACCCTCAAAAGTCTTCAAGAGACTTGTGCGAGCAAAGAATGAAGGGAGTGTTACGTTACCTAATCCCAAACACTTCCTTAGGCCATCAGAAAAATTTTCTGAGGTCGAGGTGGGAATCATAAACTCTGTTTTTCTCCATCTGTCATAATGATAGAATTATTCCTAATTTTATCTTGGTCAATGATGATAATAACTCCTACCCTCGATGATGAAGCCAAATTTGGCCTCAGTTCTTGGCTGTCTTTGTCTATAATATCGGAATCTGCTTGAGTGCAAGTTGCTGAAATATCTGGAATGCTAACACTGTATAGAGGTTTAAAATCAATTGAATCTAGAGTCCCTGTATGTATTTGACAGTTTTGCTGTAATTCCCGATAGAAAATAACACGTCGCCCCATCTGACGGCAACAATTTGAACACTTCTGATCGGTTTGTTGTGAAGGATTGACCAATGATCACACGAACGAAAAACAAATGTGAACCAATGAAAACAAAGTAAACATACCGCTTTGACAGCTTTCAAAAACTTCCATAGGTCGCGTACACTTATTTTCTATAGGTCGCGTGCACGAAGACCGACCCTGGAGGCAAAATATTGAAACACAACCTCATTCTTCTGTGCATTATTGAAACACAACCTCACTTTTTTATTTGGTTACAGAGGAATCAAAAGGTTGAAATAGTTTTTCACAATATTTTGGCATACGAATCGTGTTTCTTGCGTTATTCATTAATTCAAGCATGCCTTCGCATTGTGCTGTTGTACAATGCACAAAAAATGCAGCAAGAGACTAGGGAATATGATTTTTCAGGTAAATAGTAATCTCACATAGTTATAGCATTATGAAATGTTGTCATTCCTTATTAAAATTCCTTCTGCCTTCTGCCACTTCTGCAATACAAGCTAATGCTGCTAATAGATTGAAAATGTCTACAACACACACGATCGTCAGTATGTCAGACCAGTCCTACCGATTGATTGCATGAATCCAATCTTCTTGCATTATTCTAGAAATTTCAGGTATATTTCTATTAGCTGATCCTATTGCAGAAGGAATTCCGATGAGAAATCAGAGAAATAACCAAATTTCAAAAATGAAAACTATGTGAGTGTCTATAGTAGGTACTTACTTTTGAATCATAATGTACCATCCGGATTTCTTCATCTTCCGCTGCAGTTTTTGTGCATTTTACAACAGCACGATGTGATGGCATTAGCGAATTGATGAATAGCGGAAAAATACGATTCATATGCCAAAATAATTGTGGAAAACTATTTCGATCACTTGTAAACAAATATGTTTTGCCTCCAGGGTCGGTCATCTGACAGTTCTTGCACGCGACCAATAGGTCGCGTGCACGAAGACCGACCCTGGAGGCAAAATAATTGAAACACAACCTCATTCTTCTGTGAATTATTGAAACACAACCTCACTTTTTTATTTGGTTACAGAGGAATCAAAAGGTTGAAATAGTTCTTCACAATATTTTGGCATACGAATCGTGTTTCTTGCGTTATTCATTAATTCAAGCATGCCTTCGCATTGTGCTGTTGTACAATGCACAAAAAATGCAGCAAGAGACTAGGGAATATGATTTTTCAGGTAAATAGTAATCTCACATAGTTAGCATTATGAAATGTTGTCATTCCTCATTAAAATTCCTTCTGCCTTCTGCCACTTCTGCAATACAAGCTAATGCTGCTAATAGATTGAAAATGTCTACAACACACACGATCGTCAGCATGTCAGACCAGTCCTACCGATTGATTGCATGAATCCAATCTTCTTGCATTATTCTAGAAATTTCAGGTATATTTCTATTAGCTGATCCTATTGCAGAAGGAATTCCGATGAGAAATCAGAGAAATAACCAAATTTCAAAAATGAAAACTATGTGAGTGACTATAGTAGGTACTTACTTTTGAATCATAATGTACCATCCGGATTTCTTCATCTTCCGCTGCAGTTTTTGTGCATTTATAACAGCACAATGTGATGGCATTAGCGAATTGATGAATAGCGGAAAAATACAATTCATATGCCAAAATAATTGTGGAAAACTATTTCGATCACTTGTAAACAAATATGTTTTGCCTCCAGGGTCAGTCATCTGACAGTTCTTGCACGCGACCTACGGACACTTATGACAAGTAGTGACAGACTGCATAACCATAAAAATTTTTAAATGACATGACCAATTTGGCGGGCACTGACAGTTCATGAACGTACATGACATTGAATTATTTGAAAATTCAGTTTCTAAAAAATTAAAATAGCTATACAGGGTAACTCACGGTCGATGGTACGTTAGACGTTTATGGAGAACGGGACATAGGATCATTCTGAAATTTTGGTTACTCACGTAGTTGCTCTTGGTCTATCGATCTAAAATATTTTCAGCTCTGCGGCGTTGCCGCTTCTATCGAAAAGTAGCAACAACTTTTAATTTTAAATGGAACACCCTGTATTTCATTGCATTTTCAGATTCTCTCTGAAGAGCTGTTTTCATCGATCTATTACACTTGGGGTCTAGCGGGAATGATTACAGAGATATAGGGTGTGAAAAATCGACATTTTTCAACTTTAGGAATTTTTTTTGTCGAAACTATCAATTATTGGTCAAAACGGCTCACATGTCCCTATCTCAACTTTTGGTCAACTATCTACTGACATTTAATTGAAACAAATACAGGGTGGTGCAGAATTCAGAATCTTGATCACTCGGTTTATGTCCCAATTAAATATCAGTTGATAGTTAATCAAAAGTTGAGATAGGGACATGTAAGCCGTTTTGACCAATAATGAATAGTTTCGACAAAAAAAATTCCTAAAGTTGAAAAATGTCGACTTTTCACACCCTATATCTCTGTAATCATTTCCGCTAGACCCCAAGTGTGATCGATCGATGAAATTAGCTCTTCAGAGAGAATCTGAAAATGCAATAAAATACAGGGTGTTTCATTTAAAATAACAAAGTTGTTGCTACTTTTCGATAGAAGCGGCAACGCCGCAGAGATGAAAATATTTTAGATCGATAGACCATGCAAGAGCAACTACGTGAGTAATTAATCAAAATTTCAGAATGATCCTATGTCCCGTTCTCCATAAACGTCTAACGTACCATCGACCGTGAGTTACCCTGTATAATTGTTTAGTCGGAAACTGCAAGAATAGGAGAGAATCATTTCATTTATTCCATTTCCTCCATGATAAACAACAGCTACAGAAATGGAAATAAAATATGAAGCGGCCATTGTGAAAATTGAGTCAAAATTTATGATAGAGAATGATGAGAAATACAGAAAAAAATCAAAAAAAAAAAAAGGATGAACAGTTGAAAAATACCTTGAAATACTCTGAAACAAGACTGCAAGTAACGAGAATTCACAGTTGTTATAAGGAACTATCTCATCAAAAATCTTTGGAAGACTGTGAGGATACTGCGAATGCAAAAATGCAGGCAATTTTGAATCAAATCAAGACCCAAATGGATAGTTTCGGTATATATTTCAACCAAGATTTTAGTCAACTTCAGTATTTAAAAACGCGAATCCATGAAATCGATAACAAATTGAAAAGTATTCTGAATAATTCTCTATGAATTAAATTACAAACGATGACCCCTTTTGGCCAGTCTATCAGATGAGACACCACTGCTTTATGAAAAGAAAGACACCGCGGCAGTAGAGGAAAGAAGATCCAAAGTGCATGGGAAAGCCTCAGGGCCGGTTTATCAATTACAATTTATCTGTCAGTTAAAGCTTAACTACCAGTTTTTTTGACAAGGTCGGTTTATCTACACCAGGGTAACTTTATCCGGCAGTTAAAATGTCAAATATTTATCTGTAAGTTTTAACTGGCGGATAGTCGATATCTGGAGGTTAATATGCCTATACATAACCTCACTTTATTGAGTTGTTTTGATTTCCTAGCTTTCTGGTGTGACAAAATAGTTAAAAATGGAGAGTACTAGTAGTTCTACAAAGAAAAGAGGATGCAATTTCACAGCAGAGGAGAAAAATTTGCTGATTAAAATAGCGAATCAATACAAACGTGTGATTGAAAATAAAAAAACAGATGGGGCAACCTGGAAATCGAAAGAGGAGGCTTGGGTGCAGGTTGAAGCAGCCTTTAATAGCTGCAGTAGTGGCACTGTAAGAAAGGTTCACAATATCCTCGTCCTCGTCGCTATCCAGAATATAATCATTTAAAAAATTCATATTTATCAACAACCAAAAACTCATAAAACAGAAAACCTCGAAAACAATCAACAATAACCTAACAAAACGGTTGTGACTACTCGTGATAGTCGTGATCGGTCGTGATGTGACATGACCTTGTTCTTGTAACAACCAATGAGATTGCTTACATTTATTCATCAGCATTGCCAACTTTCATTATCTGGCAGTTGATTAACTGGAGAATAAAAATGAGCTGATAAACCACTTCCAAACAAACTGGAAGTTTATCTGCTAGATATTTTTATCTGACGGATAACTAACTGATGGATAATATTGGCAATTGATAAACCGACCCTCAGAAGCATATCCATGTCTTTGTTCAACCCTAACCAAAACTTCAAAGTCATTTCGAGAATTTGGGGTTATGCCTTCTGTCACTGCTTGTCATAAGGCCCTTTCTTTTGTACGAAAAGTGTAGCACATTCGTACACCTCCTGTGATTCAAAATTTTCTTCATTCATTTGAAATTCGTCGGTGTAGCTGCACGAATTATCAGCTGATTCATAGTGTAGTGCATTTTACACTTAGATCACACAGGATTTTACATGCCACTGAAAAGCAGACAAATGAACCTATGATGTCAGTACTCTTATTACAGCAAAACTGTCAAATACATACAGGGACAATGAATCTATTATAATTTCAAAATATAGTGGTTCATTTCTACTCAGTGTGGTTCCATATTCAGACTCCAATGGAAATAAAATCTGAAAATTGTATTCACATAAACTTTAATACAAACATAATAGCTGACAAAGGACCTAGTCCATAAAAATGTTAAATTCCTATATATTAAATAAAAGTAAGACTGAATAAAAGTCTTAGATAATCTCTGCAGAATATTTAATAGATGTTCAGTTTTAACTGACTGAAACAATACAAAATATAAAATAGTTATTTCCAATTAATGAATACTAAGAATATTTGTTATTAGAGTATCACAAATTGGTAATTTACTTACTATTGAGTTCAAACCTTGTTCAAACATAGTGGAGAAAGCTTTTTTGAAATTTATTCTGCCTGCCTCAATCTAGCAAGTCGTTGACTAAGTTCATCTTGTTCCTGGGACACTGTGGAAGTATTGCCAATTGCAGAACCTTGGGGGCCCTCAGGAAGTTCCATATTCAACTCCAATCTTTAAAAAAAATGAGAAATCAGTTCAAATAATAGGCAGAGGGAAGATTTCACTGTCTGAAAATCCCAGAAATTCCTTATTTTATATTAGGTTCAGGTGAAATTGTTATCACATTTCTCATGGAAGGTACCTAAATATCTGGAGTATTACCAGCATAATATTCAAGGATACTTAGTCAAATTGCAATATATTCCTACTATCTGTATATTTCCAGTGAGATTTTCAGCATTCCTTGATGTCATAACAATGATTTTCCCTCCACAATTTAAGACAAGGTGAATTTCTCATTTTGGATTTCACAATAATCTGAGACAATAACATGAGTCTCAAAAGTTCAATGGATCTTCACCATTCACAAAGACAACATGAATCTCAAACTAATGAATACTAAGATCTCTCAAGTCACCAATATCATCAAGTGAGATTATCATGAAAAATCTTTGGAAAAACATACCCAGCTTCATCAGCAACCTGTTGCATAAGAGAATCTACATCATTCTGAGGAACAAGAGTGGTAGTGGTCTGTCCCATGGTGTTCTCAAGCACCTCAGTCTGAACACCAAGGTCTTCAAATTGTGATTCAAACTTATCCATAATTCCTGAAATCTTCTCCAAATTCATACTCTTCATAGCTGCATCCATTGCTTTCACAACTCCAGCCATGGAATTGGTTACCTTCCTTGTAGTAACAGCTGATTGTATTTTGCTAGCAACTGCATCTACTCTGGCAGACATTCGGAGGTAGTTAACAGATTGGTTCTTTTGTCTTATTGCATTTTCAGCATGTATTCTAGCTACTTCCATATTTCCTTTTTGAATGGCTTGTTTGGTTTTGGCTTTCTCTTGTTTTTCTTCTTTTTCACAACGTTTTGAGTTCCGTTCAAGTTCCTTCACAGCAAATTTCAAATTGAATAGGTGTTCTAGATTATATTAAGGTAATAACTAAAATACATTATTCAATAAATGCAGTACTAATATAGGATGTGCACTGTGCCCTCTCTCACAAGTTAACTATTGTTGAAAAGGATACTTTCCATAGCAGTAGAAGACATTTCGTTGCCCATTTTTCTTCAGTTCAGGTCTCCTTGGACTAAAAAAGCAAATCGATGTTTCTACAAGTTTTGTACACAGGACTAGCTGTAAAATGATTTGGTCATTTGATTGAAGAATGTATGTTTATCGCTTACTTTATTTTAATCAATAGTGCAATATTTTGAGACTGTGAGATATTTTTTAGTTCCTATTTTACAAAAAAGAATCATAAATAAATACCGAGAAATACTTAAATTATTAATCATTCATTCATTAATATTGCCATATTGCCAGTTTTCTACGACTTATGAGTTCTGCGACAAAAAATATTTTGGTTTTTAGTTGAAAACATGTCAACTCCCTTAGACATTGTAATTTATGGTACTAATTCCAAATTTCATTATTGAATGATTTTTGAAACCAAGTATGTTGTATTTGCGAATTTTGCGATGAAATCTGGGATATAAAATATAACAAAACTGCTCCAGACCTCCAAAAAATTTTGTAACTTGGCATTACCGCAAATGTAGAATGAGTCACGAAATTAACGAAACGTCATCCTTGTCTCCTCTTCTCATTTCTTTCTAGTTTCACCGTTTGACTTCTGAAAAATGAAATATGACATATGTCGTCCGTAATGTCGAAAAACTAGGGATATTTCATTTTCATTTTCTGTCTCATTGTGGATTGGGCACTAAAACGTCAACGTCAAAAATTCCTTTTCATATTAGAATTTTGCCCAAAATATGGTAGGTTTTGTACAGTTTTAAAATTATTGTTATTTTCTTATTTCATCACTTACATTTTGTTCAATATTATTATTTGAATTTATTTATTTATCTATAGAAGCAGTAATGAGATGTGTATTTTCCCGATTCACCATATAATATCTTGGAAATAAATAATTGACCGTAAGGTTATGTTTTCTTTGAGTAGGAAATTTTTTTCTTCAAAAATATAGCGATTCAAGAATATCTCATCCAGTGTTCTCAATCGGTACGCTGAAAATACTAATCTAATTGTTATTTTTTTAATTTTCAGGCTCGAGGTCCCAAGAAGCATTTGAAACGTTTAAATGCCCCCAAGGCATGGATGTTGGACAAATTGGGGGGTGTATTCGCCCCTCGTCCATCCACCGGGCCTCACAAGTTGCGCGAATCCCTGCCTTTAGTGATTTTCCTTCGTAACAGGCTGAAGTATGCCCTTACAAACAGTGAAGTCACTAAAATCGTTATGCAAAGGTTGATCAAAGTTGATGGTAAAGTGAGGACTGATTCTAATTACCCTGCTGGTTTCATGGGTGAGTGTTCAATTTCATTATCTTGTGAATTATTTATCAAATGAATACTTTTTTTCAGATGTCATTACTATTGAGAAGACTGGTGAATTTTTCCGTCTGATCTATGATGTTAAAGGAAGATTTGCTGTGCACCGTATTACAGCTGAAGAGGCAAAAGTATGTACAATTCACCTTGTTATTATCTTCTTTGATCCAAGTATCACCTAAACACAGCTTCCATGATGCATTTTCAGTTTAATGGCATTTGAAATCTGATAATTGTGATTGCTCTCTTACTCATCTGATAATTGAACTAATTTCAACAAATTTTAAACTCTTCTCTGCCCTAGGATAATTTTCTGTTTTATTTTCAGTACAAGTTGTGTAAAGTAAGAAGAGTCCAAACTGGTCCCAAAGGAATCCCATTTTTGGTAACACATGATGGCAGAACCATTCGTTACCCTGACCCCAACATCAAAGTGAATGACACAATCCAAATGGAGATTGCCACATCTAAAATTCTTGACTACATCAAATTTGAATCTGGTAACCTGTGTATGATCACTGGTGGGAGAAATTTGGGAAGAGTTGGTACTGTTGTGAACCGTGAACGCCACCCTGGGTCATTTGATATAGTACACATCAAGGATGCAAATGGTCATGTTTTTGCCACCAGGTAAGTGATAAGAGAGATTGGTTGTTCCTGAATTGGTCATTGTTTTGATTTTCTTTTAGATTGCATAATGTATTTATCATTGGAAAAGGAGCAAAGGCCTTTGTGTCACTTCCTAGAGGAAAGGGTATTAAATTGAGCATTGCTGAAGAAAGAGATAAGAGGCTAGCAGCAAAAACACATTGATAATGTAGTGTTACATTATTTTCAATAAAAAACAAAAAATAATTATTTGTTTTACTCAGCAAGCAAAAACACGTTAATTATGTAGTGTTACATTAAATTTTGAAAAAACCCTGAAAATAGTATTTTTTATACTAGGCAGCAAAATAGTAGATTGCCACAGCTCACAGTTCATTGCCAAGCATAGCAAGGTTAGGAATTCAGCCATGGCAGTCAATCTACCTAACTGCCATGTGAAACAATAATTTCACCAAATGTTATATTATTTATTCATCTTTGTTTAGATATCTCACTCATGGACTTTGTCCATCAGTGGGTCCATCATTTCTAATTTTTTTTATCGCTTGGAGCGCACGAAAGGGAATCCCTATAATGTTCAAAGAACATCGTGCGTTCCTAGGGAGGATAGGGATAGGAGGTAGGTATTGGAATTTTTTTTAACTTCTGGAGATTATAATATGTTGTTGGGAATACTTCCTCAGACAATGAATTCCAGAGCCTAGCCCTTCTGTGGATGAAAGGAGTTTTGATAAAGTGCTGTTCAACATCTTTCGAGGTTGACAACGAAAGGATGTGCTGACTGGGCTTGTCTAGTTCGTCTGACTGGTATTGCTAGTGAAGGGATGATAACAGAGATTTCCGAAGAACATTTCCCGTGGAAGTATCGATAGAAAACTGAAAGGTCGCCGACCTTTCTACGGTGTTCCAATGATGTCAAAGAGTGAGTGAGTGTTGCGTCACCCACCAGGCGGATGGCTCTTCTCTGGATGGAATCCAAGAGCATCAGCGTATGTTTTGGTGCTGAAGCCCATATGTGGGAACAGTATTCTAGAACAGGCCGTATCTGCGCTTTGTAGATCATGAGAAGCTGTTGAGGTGTAAAGTAGCTTTTCGCACGGAACGAGAATCCGAGTTTTTGCGAAGCAGCTTTTGCGATGGATCTGACATGATTATCCCATGAAAGAGTGTTGCTGATGGAAATACCGAGAATATAGATATGGTGGGCTTGGTGGTGCGAGACATTATACAATGTCGGGCATACTGAGTTCCGCCTTTCTAGAGAAAATACAGGCTTGAGTTTTGGTGGCGTTGAATTCAACTAGGTTGTTGGTTCCCCGCCAGGCTGTGAGGTCTTCATTGACCTGCCTGCGCCGTGAGTTCTTAGTTTCCTGGGAAGAAATGGGAATTCTGGAAGAGAACGCAGTATGGAGGGTACTATATATCATCTGCAAAGCTGTGGATAGGGCAAGTTATTGTTACTCCCAACAGATCATTGATATGAAGAAGGAATAATGTTGGTGCCAAAATTGATCCTTGTGGAACGCCGGAATTGATGCCGATTGTATCAGACGATACACCGTCCACCACCACATGAAGCGATCTGCCTGAAAGAAAACTCGATAAGAGATGGCATAGCTGAGGTGGTAAGCCGTATGATAGTACGTAGTTTGTGGAGGAGTCCTTCGTGCCAAACACCCCAGTTAACACAAACCTCTCTGAGATGTCGCATTCAGGTCACCAAATGTTGAAAATGCGAATCGAAATTATAAGTTGCTGTTACCGCTACGGGATACGAATTAAGATGAATTGTTCACAATGGAACTCACATTTTGGTCGATCCGAATCAAATATGAATGTGTATTTGTGAGTCTATCTAGCATATCAAGTACGTTCATCGAATGCGTTGAAAATAAATTTCTTTGGAATCTCTGTATCGTGTCTCAAGGATAAATAAGTGATTCGCATTTATTTTATTCCATGATATATAGCTATAGAGGTTTATCAATTTCTCTAACTTCTCAGGAAATTTTCATTTCTGACACGACCTTCCTCTCTGGCAGAATGACGACACATTGTTCAGTTGTGATTCAGAAGTGAATTTTTCAGTTGTGGCATTATACTCCAGCAGCAGCGATATAATGTAGAGCTTGCTTCGAAATCTATTTCTACAATTTCATTTCAGTTTATTTTCTCTACAACTACTGAGGAACATATGGACTTCTTCAGGTTTCTAACAAGTTGAAGCTCATCAGTCGACACCTTTACTCGAATGTTTATTTTGTCTCGCTGAAGCTCGGCAGAATAATTTTCATTCTTAAACGCAAAGTATCATTTCGCATTCTAGATACAAGAATATATGTTTCGAAAACTGTCTGAGATGTGACATTCTGTTTAAAATGTTAGCGAAGTTTCACGTTCTAGAACATGAAATAGAACGTAAATGTTGTACATTTTGTCATAATATGTCGGGAACTAATTTCAATAATGTATGTCAATTGAAAATAATAGAGAAAAATGAATCTGTCGAGAAGAAATTAATTTGATCGTATACATCAAAAAAAGTATCTCGATACATAGAAGACGTGTACCAAATTTGATGAAGGTATATAAACAATAGCATATAAACAGTTATAGTAGTTAATGGAAGATAAAAAATTTTTTCTGAAAATTTTACCACCCTGTATCTCAAAATTTAAGACGTTTAGGTCATAAGTTCATGTGAAGATTTTTCTCAAAATGGGTCCAAAGAATCACCCTCTGCATGTCATTAAGGAACACCCTGTATGGCATATATCCCCATCTATTTAGCATGGCCGATCAGTTATTTGTTCACCGGTAGACTCAAAAAAGCATGCATGTTGCGCACAATGTGCTCTGCACGTGGTCGTTTAGGGTCGTAGATGTTGCCGAGAGTACCATAATGCCCTATATACCCTGATTCATCGAGCTCATACTCGACTACTGTTTTTATCGACAATCAAATAAACTACTCATTTTGCAATGAAACAATTCATTAGTTCGACGTATCCCAATAACTATTGATATTAAGAACTTGAATATCGAATAGTAGTTCTAGTAGTACTTAGTAGTAATCGAAATACCTGGAAATTGTTCAAAAGGACTCTGATATTAGAAGGCGTGGCATCAGTGTGAATGTGAGATGGCCGGTTGCTGGTGTCTGTTCCTTTTTAGATTCATAGCGTATGATAGCGTCTATACTTGAACTCGTTTGATTTGGAATCAGAGAGTCGTGCTATTGCTGAGAGTGTTAGAATTGTTGATTCGTTGAGATGATATCATATAGCCATTAATAAAATAAGACTATATTATGTTGGCCAGCCTTGATAGATCGGTAATTTATACCTAGTTGTTAACTGCATGTTTTAAATCTACATTTCCAGGTTGAAACGTTCTCTATTATTGTGGTTTGGGAGGAGAAAACCGTTCCCGAGTTTTCCATGTTGGCCTGCGAATTTGGGACACCCTGTATACTGAAATTCCAAGTATTATACAGGCTGTTAGGAATTTTTGATTGAGGACGGTTATATCCGTTTTCCACGTTGAAATATAATCAGCTTCTTTGTTACCGTTTCATTTGTTGTAAAAGTTTATCATTTCAGGTTTCCAATTCACCAATCCTATACTCCCAATTATTCGTATCAGTGACTGAGATGCGATTTACATTATCATTCACAAATGTGGTCTGATAAACCCAATTTGTGAATTATCTGGCAACATCTGAAATTCATGTGTTTTTGACATGAATGAGTGTTACAAAATACTTCATCAAAATACATCTTTGATATCGGAATGTGACATATCCAGTGATACGGATTGTGATTCACATTATGTAATTAGTAGCGATTCATTCTACTTCACATTATAACATCAAAAGTACCCCAATGTGCATTCGATTTTGAAGGAGAAGTAGTAGGTCACATTCAGCAGATTTCGAGTCACATTAGGCATCGCATTGTAATGCCTGAAGCCGGTCAAGGGGGCCCCGAATAGAAGTGTTGGCGATACTAATGTTAGTCACATTTCGACTCACTGGTGTGATCTGTAACATGAAAGTGAAGCCTACGAACATCTCTGAGATGATTTTGTGTTAACTGGGACGGTCAAATGCTTTCGATATGTCCAGCGTGTTCCAATGTTCCCCGTGTTTTTCTAATGAAGCTTGCCATAAATGGTTGACGTAGGCTAGTAGATCTACAGTAGATCTTCGGTGGTGAAAGCCGTCATTGATGATTCCCGAGCTCTCCAGATATTTGATAAGCTCAATATTGATATTGATGGCTTTCTCCATCACTTTGGGGATTATTGATAACAGGGCAATGGGCCTGTAGTTGTTGGACAGGTTCTTGTTCCCTTTTTTGGGGATTGGTTGGACTCTAGCTGTCTTCCAGCACGAAGGAAAAATACCCGACCTGTACGAGACGGTAAACAACTTGCAGAGAATCGGTGTTAATTCTGGTGCACATTTTTCGAGGATAATGGGTGGAATTCCATCAGGACCGTTGGCATTATTCGTTTTGAATATTATTTTTATACTTGGTTCTCCCTACTTTGTAATTATCGAAAATAAAAAAAAAACTCATAACCTAGGACTTGCAAAGTAAAAATCCAAGGAACCTTGGAATAATACAAAGTGAATTTTTTCAACAGTGGTGGTTTTATTTATTTCAAAATACAAGTTTCTTCCTTGAAAATAAGCTCCCATGCTGTATACCTTCCTGCAAATATATTATTTTGATACATGCAAGCTCGAAAAAACTGTTAACTATTGGATAGTATTCATAAATGTTCAACAACAATTAATAGTACATCACCTCTTACTTTATAATTAGATGAGTATAAAAGCAAAACAAATTTAATATTAATTAATGTTCCTTATGTTGAAAACATAACAGCACTTTTGAGTTCCTACATTCCGTAATTTTCATCCAGCAATAATTAAATGATTAATATTTTTTACAGTAGGTTTCAGTTTGTAGACAGCCCATGAAGGAAGCTAAGGAACACGAGAATTCATAGTTTTTTTTCTTTTGGCAACAAAAGCCCTCCAGGAGAATGTGAAAAAATTATATTCCTATAGTTCCACGATTTCATTATGTTTGAAAATGGGTTGAACAGTGGAATAACGTGAAATTTGGTGAACAAGAATGTCAGAAAGCTATCAATTACTGAAAGGGGCTCTTAAAAATAGGGGTACAAACTTCTGTTTTGCATTTTCCAGTAACAGACACCCTAATATCAAAACTATGTGAACGTCATAATTACATTTTTTTTTTGTTTCCTTGCAATATATATGGTGTTTGCAATCTCGCCGATTTCCTCTATGGTGGATAAAATTCATAACTATCAGAAAATAATCAATTGAAAATTGCACCAGGGGTTTATAGTACATCAATGGAGGGAGTATATTCAGGGGCGAATCTAGGATTTTTCGGAGGGAGGGGGGGGGCGATTCGGTAATAACAGAGCCTTGATTATATACAAGATAATAATTTTCGAAGAAATATTTTGAAATAGAAACTGAATAGTGAAAAATAATCATATGTATTGCAAAAAATGCAAAATGACACTCCCTAGGGGAGATATAAACATCCGTCGCAGGGGAAACATCGGCGGCATTTTTTATTTCTTCGTCTTGTAGCCATCTGATTTTCTGTCAAGTAATGTTCATTTATTCGACCTTTGACAGAGCTGTCATTGCTTGAAATTTGAGATTCCATGAGCGATGAGATTTTTTTGAAATAATAACACAATGGAGTCATTGTGGTATCAGATACGGAAATGAAATTGATGACGTACACAGTACCTCATTGATGTATCCGAACACTGTAAAACAAGAGCAATTTTGTGTCATAGCCGTAGAAAAAAGAGGTTTGAATATGGAATTTGGATTGTGTAACTTGTTCACCACAAAAACGGAACTCTAGATAAAATTCGATCATGGTTTCGACAAAATTTGAATTTTAGTAATTCAAAGCATCAGTAAACATTGAAACGATTAACAGATATGTCATGAAAATTGTTAAAAATGTTCCTCATTTTCACGTATTCAAAGATTTATAGGACGAAAAAAAAAAAAATGGATACAAGCATACTCACCTCTGTACAAATTTGCTCAGTCTGGGCGTACAAAAAAAATAGCTGATCAAGTTCTACGCCCATGGACCCATGGATTGAAATCTCATGAGCTGTTAATTTTTTACAAAGTTATGAAGCAAAAACTATTTGGAAATTGTAAACTAAGCAACTTTGAACTGAGATAAGTTTCATTGCATCAAGTTGTTTTGACACCCTGTATACTGCTACCCAAATGTTGTTGAATTTGCGAATTGGCTTCGAATATGTACATGATAATAGAGAAAATCAGCCACGTTTAAAAATGAAATGAAAAATTACAGCTAGTATAATAAACCATTCTCATTCACCTAATTTTATATTCATTGAAATTGCTTCAATACAAACATACAGTATTAAAAATTGACAAAAAAAAAATACCCGGAAAAGTAATGCCAGTGATGATTCATAAATTGTTCAATGGTATAATACCTAATAACATTAACAGATGGTGTGTACCTATTGTGATTTGAGCAATATAATGACTATACAGGGTGTTCCTAAAAGGTCTGTACAAAATCTCAGCACATACTCCTGAGATCAAAATACGCCGATTCAAAGCAATTCACCTTGTTGCTCAGTTTCTGAGATACAGGTAAGACGGCGGCTTCCAAATAATTTCTTGTTTTTGTATAAATGACGATAACTTCGTTGTTATCAACACAAAACTATTACTGCGACATATCAACTGTAAGAGAAGAGAAAGTTATTTGTAACTAAGTCATAGTGAGCTATGACCTACATTTGAAAAAGTAAAGTTGGTGCTGATATCTCAAATTCTAGGAGAGTTGGTATGAATTTAATATTTTTTTCGAAATCACTTTGAAAAACTGCCATGAGAATGTGAAATTCCTATTTGAATATTTTCATAAATAAAGAAGCTACGGAGGAGACATGAAAATGATCAAAATCTGTTTTTTGCGTATAAAACAAAAACGAATAGATTTTATCAAAATATTTTTTCACATTATAGTTGGCCTTGACAAACTCCACATTTGATGTCATTTAACCGACCTCGTATCTCTCAACGTTAAGTGGGACACATTGTATATCGATATGAGGTTGTCACCATTGATTTTGTCATGTGAATTGATCAACAGGCACCGACATCAGTTTTCTCTATCTTGTATACGGGAATGACTTTCCCTTTAAAAGTGACCAATTTGGCCCACCCTGTACAGACCTTTCAGGGAAGTGAAACTACTGTTGTGCCTAACTTCCTTTGAGAATACCAATCTGAACATCCGCTAAACATCAAGTAAACGAGATTTATTCAAAGCATATCACTTTAGTTTGGTTAAAATATCACCCAATCCAATATCCACAGTGCTTTTTTAAAGTAGTTTTCCTCATGTTGATTGGACATTGGGGCTAACAAAAAAGCTGGGCTACATACAATAAAGCAACTTTTCATAAAAACAAGAAATCATATTCTTAGTCGCGAACCAAGCAAAAAATCTGGAAAAGTGAGAGAAATCAACTCCATCAGTCCATGAGAAATTGAAAAGCAGAATTTTAAAAAATAATTTGACACAATTTTCTCAAATTCAATATATTATTTCCTATATTGAGGAGATATCTCATGTCACTTACAGGGTACTGATTTTCATTAAAAAATAAACATTTCAAAACTGTACTGAAAAAAATTCTATTGATTTTCATTAGTTCAAGGAATTTTTATTCATCTACCTCACAGTTCATATTTCAGTAAATAGTTTTTTATACAATTTTGCAGGCCAAATAAGGAGAATGACTCCGAAAACCAGTCAATACGATTTTTCATGTCAGAAAAATACTAGAAATATTGAAATTCCATTTTCAAATCATCTTGAGGAGCTAGTATAAAGGAATTTTGGATTCTTGTGAAACAGTCGCTGACCAAAAAAATCATATTTATAATAAAATAAAAACATTTTTTTATTTCTATAAAATTCATGAGAGGTGTGAAAAGACACCCAAAAATATCAGTCGTTCCCCTAAAAAAAAAAACGACTACCCTGTAACAAGCATGCACACTATGGAAATGTGGCAATTGGCTCAATATTTCACGAATTTCACAGTAAATATCTCGAAAACTAACCAATCAATTCAAGATGTGAAATCTCAAGTTATAAGAACTTAGATATTGAATGGAATTTTAGCCACACACAGAAAATAATAATTTTTGTCAAACTTTTATGACTTGGTTAAACAAATTTGGCAGTTATTCTACTATCACATATTTAAATTGCGATTTTAAAAAACGTCAATTTCTAGCACAGGAAAATTGGAAATACCCTTGAAGTCTCCGACCTCTTCATGACATAAAATAATGGAAAAAATAAAACAAAGCGCAAGAGAGAAGTGAGATTCTAGTATTTAAAAAATGTCTACAAGATATTTCGAAATATCTGGTGTGAAAATCGTGAAGCTATAACCATATATGGTCACTTACCCATTCATATAATAATTATTCTAAATCTACCGAAAAATTTTTAGCGACCATAATACTGCCGTCATAAATGAAAAAGCCGTATGCGAAATAATTTGGTACATTTTCGAAATAAATGTATTCCACTTTACAATTTCACACTGTATATTATTAGATCATTGGTTCTTGAGATTGTGATGAAAATGCCTTATCCTACTTCAATGTTTATTGGCTTCCTGGCCTACTGGTAATGCCTCTATTTCACATTTTCACAGTACTGATTGTTTTGAAAAAAAACTTGAAAACCTCAGATATTCTTTCTTGCTTTCATACTTCAAATAAATCTATTCAAATATAGATCTTTTTTCTAGGCTGCCATTAAAGAGCGAGTTCTCAGTTTTGACGCAAAATTTCTGTTCTACATAAATACAGTAAAACCATAGATAAAATTACATATTTGGCAACGCTTCAATGGGAGCTAGTTTCTCCCCCGACTATTTATTTATCGCTGCCAGCGCGAGATCAATTTGACCAATTTTGACTGCAAACGGAGCCAATTTGCTTCAACGCTTTCAAAGATGACTGCGTCTTCGGTCAATATAGACTTCAACTAGATTAACCCAAAACCAAATCGAATGAAAATAACTTGCAATATCACAATTCCTGATGCATGGCGTGTCGTCTCGAATAAGCCCACCAAGTCGCAAGAAAATCGAAATAGGGTATTCTGAGATATTAATAAAAAAACACTATAACTTTGTTCCTAATTTCAATGAGTCGTACATATGACCTGAAATATGTTTGGCAGATTATAACTGAAACACCGTGTAGACCAAGACATGGTAGAGTTTTGAAAATATTCAGTCAGATAATCTGATCAGTTGCCAGACTGAAACGCTGTATACCTTTCGATGAATTCACCACCAACTCTAATATCACAAATCAGGCAGATTTTGTGTGACGAACAGCGCAAAAGCAACAAAAAACCTTTACCGCACATACGACCTTCTCCTGAAAGGTAAGCTCACGCTTACGCGAAATTCGCAAAATTTATGCGAATAAACTAGCGGCAAGTGTTTATACACACCCCAACAAAGTATATTATATACAGGTTGATCTTCCAAAGTGGCTCAACCCCCAAAACTTTTTTATTGTTGAAGGTAGTGAAACGAAATATTCGGGGGTTGTGAATTATAGGTCAATTGACATTTTTTGACCCATCTACTTGCTTTGCCGTACTTTCGGTTTGACCAGAAAGTACAAATTTTGCGAGTCTTAAGGCGTTCTCGGAAACTTACTCTGGGTTAACTCGATCCAGAGAGGTCACGTGACGTGTCAGGTTAGGAACACAGAATTTAATCTTTCAATTCAAGTACTTATTTGATATTACAAATATTTATATCTACCTCATAAAACCACAAACTTGACATCAACCCAAATTCTCTGCTCTATGAATTACTAAATCCAATTATGGAGATTAAAAAGAAAATTTATATCACCGATCGAAATATTTCCCAACATGCAAACTATTTTATTATTATATTGTTGTCATGGAGTGGTAAACTCCCGCGTTTTTTGATTTTACATAAATTACGTATAAATTGGTAATGCTCATGCAGTGTCCTTTGCAACTCTGAGACGTTTTTCATTCACATACCCTGTTGAACCCAGTTGAAGTATTTAGGGTCAGGTGGTGGGAGACACCTACGTCATAATGACGTCAACATCAACCGTTTCCAACGATCCTATTTCTTTCACATATTTTTGGTCTCTCTTGTTGCCTAAAATTGATTTCTAATTTCAATGTTAGGATGAAATTTTCCATATTTTTTTGTTTCGAGGTTAGAGTTTTGAAAACCAAATCATAAATCCTGAATATTTCCGATCTATGACACAATACGATTGAGTTGGTGACGCTGAGGCAGATAGGGGAGGTTAAACCAAACGGAAATGACGTCATGGAAAAACACAATGAAATGGGATTATCAACTTCAAGCGTGTCGGTTAATGTGAATGAAAAACGCCTCTGGCGACCCTGCTTTTGAGTAGGGTCACGAAAAACCAACCCAAGTTAGCAACACCACAGTATATTATCCTTTCACTCACCAACACTCAAGTTTCTGAACAGAGGTAGGTGACTCAGTTTAGGTAACCGAACATGTTAGGGATCCGATCAACTCGAGTATGTTTCTGAACAGAGGTAGGTGACTCAGTTTAGGTAACCGAACATGTTAGGGATCCGATCAACTCGAGTATGTTTCTGAACAGAGGTAGGTGACTCAGTTTAGGTAACCGAACATGTTAGGGATCCGGTCAACTCGAGTATGTTTCTGAACAGAGGTAGGTGAATCAGTTTAGGTAACCGAACATGTTAGGGATCCGGTCAACTCGAGTATGTTTCTGAACAGAGGTAGGTGAATCAGTTTAGGTAACCGAACATGTTAGGGATCCGATCAACTCGAGTATGTTTCCGAAAACGCCTAATTTTAACCCACCAACGACCTGTCAAATGACGTGATTATGGAATCATTAATGGAACATTGGAACATTAGGCTTTTTCGGAAACCTACTCGGGTTGACTCGATCCTCAACCTGCACGTTCTTTTACCTAACCCGAACACTAACTCAGGTTTTTTATTTTCCTCATTTCATTTTGGTTTCATTTTGTGTGTTGTTCGAGCTAAATAAATCATGAATAAAAGTAAAATTGAAATCTTTCAACACCAGATGCGTTTTTTGGATTCCCACCGGTGGCAGTAGAATTGACGATCAATAAAACTATGTGATACATTTTGAGAGTTGTGACATTCAGCATCTTTAGGTGTTATTCCGGAATCTTGCTGTTCATCCGTAGATAATTATAATTTATAATGTTCCCGATTTCTTGTTATCCTTCTTAGTAGGTGCATCGGTTAGAAGGCAAAATACATTGATAGTTATCAATGAAATTGGCCCCTTAAGATTTGAAAGGATTTAATAATTGTATGAGTCTTTTTATGTTATCTACAGGAATACTTGACTACATTTGCGAACAACTCCAAAATATTTCCTGTAGCGAGTTCACTTTTAGACAATTTTTAAGTCACATTTTGGGGTTAGAGTATCTGAATTCTGAAATACCGCCATTTCATACACTCCCTCCACAATTGATGCTATCTTCTTGTGAAATAATTATACTCTCCTAAACTAAAACGAGTTTGCATTCAGTGTTTTCAGATCCAACCCCGAGTGATCCGGCAAAAGATTTAGACTCATGGCACGCCAAGATCCGTAACCTAATACGATCGTGGACCATATTATCTGGGCAGATGATTTAGTCAGATCCGAGTGATCCGTCACGTGAACTATTCGGATTGGATTGGTGACCTGGAATAAGTTTCCGAAAATGCCTATAGTATACTCAAGGTGGATTTATGCAGCATCATTCAACAATTATCAAGTAACATTTATCATTTAACAAGTAGCAATTAAAAGTTGAACTTCCTGTTTTCAATGAAGGTGTTTATGCATACATTTAACAATTATCAATAATTAACAATTATCAAGTAAGAAGTTGGCCAACTTTTAACTTTCTTACTTCAATTGAACCAGGTTTTCTTCTAGTCTGCAACTAAACTGCCCCACATTTGAAGTGAGACACGAAAAAATTTCTATCATTTTCAAACCGTCATAACTTTGGATTGGATCGACCAATTATCAAATTCTTTCAAGATTCTGATAGCCTATTCCATTGAGTAAAACGTCAGTACTTTTTTGTTATTCCACCTTTCCGACATGAAGACTTACAAGGTGATATCTGAAAATGTGAAAATTTTCGAAAAGTTTAGGATCACCCCGTTTCACAGGGATTTATTTTTATGTCTTATTGAGGGCGATAAAATGAAGGACAATGAGTTTTCCCGAAATGGTTCTGAATTCAAGAGGATTCATACAGGATGTTTCGATGTATGGAATTTTTCACATTATATTGCAATTTACGGCAAATTTGAGATCGCCCCGTTTGGCAGGGATTTTCATTATGTTTCATTGAGGGCGATATAAGATGAAGCATAATGAGTTTTCTCGAAATGCTTTCCGATTCAAGAAGATCCATACAGGAAGTTGTGATATATAATTTTTCACAATATATTGCATTCTGATGTTCAACGTTCAACCCACATAAACTCAACTTCAACAGAACTTCAGATTAGCTTATCCTGCTCAACGCTATCACTATACAATGTGTTGTACATTTTCAAACATACCGGGTATCATCGAATTTGTCAGACAAACCATGGTTTCCAGATTACGATTACGAAGATATTCTCGTTCGAAATTTCAATATGCACAATAAGACGTGTGACAAAAAATGTTTTTTTTTTAGGCAATATTATGTTGTCTTCAAACTTCAGTGACAATTCTCGCACGATGTGGTAGTTCATTATTATTGTCATCAACCAGTATGAAATTGTCACCAACAGTTTTGGGCAACTGGAACGACAACTTCCCTAACACAATGAATGTCTTATTGATACTGAAGAGTATTCATACTCTTTCTCAATATAACCATCAACGTGGGGCAACAATTTATCATGATACCGCCCCATGTTAATTTTATATACTTATCATTTTCTCATTATAAATATTGTGTTGATAATAATTATTAAAGGCATTTTTTTCGTAATATCTCAATTTATTTCTACATCCCCTATATTCGAAAATGTACAACACATTGTGTAGTAATGGCGTTGATGATATGCCAATGTAAAATTCTGTTGAAGTTGAGTTTATGGTGGTTGAACATATCAGAATGCAATATGTTCTGAAAAATTCCATACATTCAAACATCCTGTATGAATCCTCTTGAATTCAAAACCATTTCGAAACAACTTATTGTTCGTCATTTTATTGCCCTCAATAAAGCATAAAAAAAATTCCCGGTGAAACGGGGTGATCCCAAACTCTTTGAAAATTATCACATTTTCAGGTATCACTCAGTAGATCTCCATGTCGAAAAGGTGGAATAACAAAAAAGTACTGACGTTGTACCCAATGGAATGAGCTATCAGAATGTTGGAAGGAATTGAAAATTGGTTGATCCACTCCAAAGTTATGACGATTCGAAAATGATAGAAGTTTTTGCTTGTCTCACTTCAAATGTGGAGCAGTTTAGATGATGAACGCGGATTGGTTTCATCGACTGGTAGAGAAGGCATGGATTGGTCAGACCAATGTCAGACCTGACTATCTGACAGATGCTATGAAATTTGTTTCAACATAAAATAATCGCACTCAACAAAATAATTGTCAATGCAAGTAACCCAGTCTCTTCCAGATCAGAAAACATTTTGAAATTTGAAATTTTAGCTCCTTATGTGAATTGTGAACAACGAATTTTTAAGGTTATGGCTTTGATAGCCTCGTTATAGGGCATATGCGCTTGCGTACTATTCATCCATTAATTGTTAATTTGGTTTGCATAAATGTCAATATTCTCATCACTTGTTAATTGATAATTGTTAAATGTTGCTGCATAATCCACCGTCAGTTGTTAGTTCTGCAGGGATTTCGCGAATTCGCATCAGCACGACCACCCCGCGAGGACGGCAGACCTCTACAACAACAACAAAAAAACCAAGAGGAAAAACCAGAAACCTCAGTCCTTGTTGCCCGACGTGTCCATCGGACTGGCCGGCTGCTGCGGCGCCGGCACGGCCGGCTTGACGAACCGCTCCGAAGGGCGGCGGTGAGGGGCGGGCGGACTGCCCGTGCCGCCCCCCGCCGCGTGCAGGGCGGCCGCAGAGGCACACGCGGCCGCCGTGAGGATCTGGCCGCACGAGTGGCAGCGCGGCGGGCAGGCGACCAGCGAGTCGCGCGGCGAAGGAACTTGGATCGTCGACAGACCTGGAAGGTATTCGTTTCTAGTCTAAGATCCGAACCTAAGTCGACCTTCACCGAGCTGATAATAGAACGAAATATATTTTATCATGAATTTAGTATATTAGAAAACATATTAAAAATGGGTTGCCTAAAAAAATCCTGGGCAGACTATTTTTAATTATTTTTCGAAAAATTATTTTTAATTAAATGTTGCAACATCAGGATAATAAAAAAATTGTGTCCTGACTGAAAGTATGAAACGTATAGAATGTGCAGCCGTTGGGGTGTCTACTATTTACCTGGGCGAACTACTGGGTTGTCAGGTAAACACAGGTATATCGATGCCAGTTACTTTCACTGGATTGGATAATTTAAAAAAATGTATATCATCATAAGCGCTGTTTAATTGCGAACACGTTGATATAGGGTTGTCTGCGAAAATTCCGGTCCGATTAGGGGTTTTTAATTTCAACGCGCGTGGAAGTGTGTGACAGAGAGATCCGAGGTAAGTATACTGTGTGATAATAAAGGACCCAACATCGCAGTCGCTTGTGATGGGACCCTGAATAGTAGAAAGTGCGCATGCTCGGTGTGTAAACTATGGAGGGTAGAGGTACCTCTACTACCCTTCATATAGTAAACAGTGCGTGTTATTTTGGAGCAACTGATATTTCAGTAGCAAAAAAAAATAATTAATTAATTACATAATAATTAAATATATTTAATATAATACTAATATATAAAAACAATATAATATCAGTATATTGCGTTATAACCATAATGATATATCTATAATCTATAATAGACAATAAAAATATCAAATACTTACTTTGAAATTTTTTTGCTCTTTCTGGAAATAGAAACAAAGTGGACCGCCAAAAATTTAAATTGAGAAATAACAAAAAAGATAGACTAGACATCTTGTATTACGATTTGAAATTTTATTAAAAAACAGTATAAATACAAAAATAATATTAATGAAAAATAAATTCTAATAAATATTTTCTATTCAATATCTGATTCATCAGAAGTACATTTTGACTCTCGAATTCGTCTGATTCATTAGATTCTTCCTCATTTGCTTCCATTTCGACAATGTCCTGGATTTTCAAAGGAGTTTGATCTCCGATAAAACCTGTTGGTTTTAAGAAATCATCAAAATGCCAACCATAGTTTTCAGGATTTGACTTCGCACACTTTCTACTATTCAGGGTCCCATCACAAGCGACTGCGATGTTGGGTCCTTTATTATCACACAGTATACTTACCTCGGATCTCTCTGTCACACACTTCCACGCGCGTTGAAATTAAAAACCCCTAATCGGACCGGAATTTTCGCAGACAACCCTATATCAACGTGTTCGCAATTAAACAGCGCTTATGATGATATACATTTTTTTAAATTATCCAATCCAGTGAAAGTAACTGGCATCGATATACCTGTGTTTACCTGACAACCCAGTAGTTCGCCCAGGTAAATAGTAGACACCCCAACGGCTGCACATTCTATACGTTTCATACTTTCAGTCAGGACACAATTTTTTTATTATCCTGATGTTGCAACATTTAATTAAAAATAATTTTTCGAAAAATAATTAAAAATAGTCTGCCCAGGATTTTTTTAGGCAACCCATTTTTAATATGTTTTCTAATATACTAAATTCATGATAAAATATATTTCGTTCTATTATCAGCTCGGTGAAGGTCGACTTAGGTTCGGATCTTCTACTATTCGAAAGGAGTACGTGATGACTTGGAGGAGAATGTTCAGTATTTATTCTAATCAATTTGTCAGGGCTGTAGGGTTGTTGACACTGCTGTTCAGACGTTTTTTGTATATTAGAGAACGGACAATATCGACAAGGAGTGACAGTGAGACATAACTAAAAATGATTTTGAACTGAATCATATGTTTTGTCAGACAAGGACAATGTTTTTCTCGCATCTTCCTTCCTGCACATAATCAGGAAAGAGTACATCGGAATGCATCCATATATCTTTCTCTGTCTTTCCTTTTTGAATGAGAGCATAGCGTCTCCTCGAGTGGATTATAGGGACATTAACCCTCTAATGCATGATGCCTACTAGAGTCCCTGTATGTACCTTAGACAAGAGTCCAGACACAGTTATACTTCTGTCCTTTTCTGTTTTCAAAAAATGCATTGATGATTGATTAAAGAATAAGACATATATATCGAGCTTTGTCTTTTCAATTCCCCTAGTATCAATGATTGTCAGAAACAATTTTGAGGGTTAGATTATTTGTCAAACTAGAAGTGAGAAATAGGGCTATTTTAACTAGAATAACTATTAGATTCTCAAATAATGAACAACAGGGTGTTCAAATTTCGAATCGATAATTTTCATAATCAATTCCTGAGATGCCTATTGCAAATTTTCGTCATCAGATATTTCTTCACTTCATCAGATATAAGAAAGATAATAGTGTTCTAGGTGGTATCACATATAGCCAAGAAAATATAGTTGTTTTCTGTTGGGATATAAAAAAATAGAAGATATATAATTGTTACAATATAATTTTCTCCGATTCTCTCAACTTAATAACACTCAGTAGAAATAAAAGTGACAAAATCAAAACAACAAGATATATACCTATATGCCTTATAAACATTGATTTTTGTATTTATCTAACATTAGGGAGACAAACAAAGATCAAATTGATAAACTTTCTTTCTCTGCGATCGTATCATTCAGTAATTCCCAATACGATGACGACGGAACTCTTTTTTTGAACGTCTCTATTTCATAAATCTACGGCACAGCAGACTCTATCAATTTGAAATCCATCAGCTTGAAAGAATCTCTATCAAAATGGGCCTAAAATTCATCCTTTTTGTACTGTTTTCACAAGTGAATTTGAATATTTACCTCATATATTTCATTGCATTCTTCCATGACATTATCTTTGAAGGATCATTCAGAAAATTGAATGACTTGAATCCCTTTTCTAATGAATTATCGCAATAATGTACGCAGCAGGACATTGAAATAATTTAAAATGCTAAATATTTAAAAAAGCGGGCGGGACGACTATGGTGTTTCGTCACATTGTCAGGTGACCAAACTAAATGAAAAAAAAAAAAAAAAAAAAAAAAAACCCCAACGGCTGTCAGTTTTGTGTCAGGACCATATACGTATTAATAAACAATACGGATCATAACGGGTAGCAGGATGAAGCCAAAAATATGAAACAAATGAATATCCATAAGGATTTGGTGGCATGATACGCATGCGCCATGAGCTATTATAGTAGTCATCAAAGACATGCGTTTCGGTGGACAATGACGTTTACTAGGCTTTCAATCAAAGCAGTATGTGTCTAATCGTTTCAAAACTTTTCCTTATGGATAGTCATTTGTCTTCAAAAATCGGCTTCATGTTTCGCTATGGAAACAGATAGAGATTATCCGTATTGATTATTAATACGTATATGATCCGGACTCTTGTCTTAGGTATATACAGGGACTCTAATGCCTACTACAGGTGACAAGAGGAATAAGTAGTTACAAGCAATAGTAATATTCCATGTTACATCAAAAACTATTTTTGGTTGTCAATATTAGACATATTTTGACATATCCCCAATGTTACCATTTTCTGGGAAGAAAATCAGGGGTTCATTCTATATGTTGAATCATATTTGCAATAATGCCGTTCATTTCATGACCTGATTATTTTATTTTTCGTTCCTAGGCCTATCTTTTTGATGATAAATTGATGAATTCAAAGCAATTACCGACATCCCGGAGGATTCAGAAATTATAATTGCTTTGTATTCCTTCCCAGAAACCAAGTCGGGTCCTGAATTTTTTTATTCGATAATGCCTTTTCTCAACTCTCTGTTGCTATATCAATGATATGCAAAAAAAATGATTTGAATACTTTTGGTCGAATGTAGAGAGTAGATAGTGTGCCAGGACCAAATCGAAGAAATATTCATCAGAATTTTGTTCCATATTTTTTTACCAAATCGGTCAGTGTGCCATACAGATTGAAGAGCCACGCGTTTTTTCTGATTTTTCTGAGTTGGATAATAGTTTTTGAAGAATACGATCCAGAAGGTCAAAATTTTGACATCTACAAAGGAAATGAGTTTCCCAAGTCCGGCTCTGGATTTTCTTTGCGATAACATAGACGTTCCTCAAATATCGTTCATGAAAGTTTCGGTCTGATATCAAATAATGCCCTGTATTTTTGTTACAAATCGGCAAAATATATTTTCACATATACAATATCAACCTCGATATCAACTCACCTTGACTTCCTCACCCTGTACATGTTAAAGGTGTAATGAACCTCTTGCTGTCCTGATTGTTTCAAATATTCCCATACCATCCTTTCAAACATGAATGGACTATAATGATCAGTGTTGACACAACCTATATAATTTTTAGCGAGCCATGCTGTCAAAATCGAGCGAAATTTTAATGACGAAGTTACGTTTAACAGATTTTATTCCAAACAAAAATTAGATATTCTATCTTGCCCATTTTATTTGTGAATCTTCGCAAATACTATAGTCATCAGAGATGAGTCAGAGTGATATCTGTCAACAGTACTACATCAGATATTAGTCACCTAAGTCACCCACTATATACTACATTGAATTTTCATAAGTTACAGGATCTACCAGGTGCTACCAGGTTACTGCTTTTACACTGGTCAACTCTTAACAAACCTCATAAAAAACCGATTGAAACATAATTATATGTGAACAATAATAACACATAGTATAGTAAAAAATAATATAGGATATAGATAAATGAAAAACTTGTCCATTTTCATTTCCAACTTCCTATGAATTACGTAGTTAATTTCAACTTTGAACTTCTCCGTTCATTTTCAAAGACAAAATACAATCATCTTTGTTTAATCCTTTGCATCTGCGCTATAATATGAACTGTGAGTTCTGTGTTTACTATTGAGTTTTGTGGTTCTGTGGTCCTGGGAATCCTGGGCTGGGATATTTTGTAGTCTAACTTCAGCTTGTGCCTTTCGTCTTACCTTACCACAAAACACAGAACACTTAGGGTTACTGTGGTCTCACTATGATTCTGTAGGTATTGCCCGCTGACACAGATTACACAGAACAACATAATCAAGTATTGCTCAGTGACAGAAATTCTTTGGGTCAGTCAACATCAACAACCACTGTGGAAAATCGAGCGAGATTTGACAAAGATGAGTGCGAGAGTAAATCAAAGAAGGAATGAGCGAAATCTCGCTCGATCGAGCGAGCTGTGGCAACGCTGATAAAGATTCTCAATAGCGCCTCGAGTGTATTCTGTAGCAGCTTACATCACCAGCCAGCTGTCAACCGAGAAATCTTTTGGTGATGTCACTTTGTATAACCTTACGACACTCAGGTCAAAGTGTCGTCACAGAACTTGTCGCGTGCAGGCGATCTAGAATGTATTTTTTTGAGAGGAGTACATGGTAACTTGAAGGAGGAATAATACTGAATACAATACTTATAACTTCTCTATCTGTGAATGTCTGCAATTCTCCAAGTAAACATACAGTATACATTTCTAAGAATAGCGGTTCCTGCTATTAATTTGTCAATTATTTTGAATGATTGATTGGGCTTCATTACCAAAAGAAACATTGTTGTTTATAGTAGGGGATATAAAACATAGTATTTATGATGAACACAATCGCCGATGCGATAGGCCGTTAACATGTTGACAAGAACTATGAAAGCGTCTATGAAAGCTACCAAATTATCCTGCCTTAATCCATTTATATTAGAACTTGGACCAAGTTGTTCATGTTACGAGCTTTTGTTTTCAAATTTGCAATTGAAAAAAACCAAATAAATATTTCGTGTGGAATAAAAAAAGTCGTTTGATATGTATTGACCGGCTAATACTTACTGCAGAATATTTTAGGTTAAATCATATATTTTTTCGGAATTTCATAACAATAAATGGCTGCACTGTCTGAGTAGGTACTCGCTAAAATAATGAGCGTGATTTGTTCGATATAGTAGCTACTATATTCCCCCTTTCATTCAGTACAACACAATGTGGTTTTTCTTGTATCCTCGATCTCAAGGAAATTAACTTCAACACACTTTTGTTTTCAATTTGTTGATATCCATTGTTGAGCACTATATTTTCAGCATACCTATGTTGACTAATTGGCAATCGATACCTTTTGTGGGTGAATAGCAAAGAAATAAACACTGTTTCGCACTTATCGCCGGTCGGCAAAGACACTGCCATGCCAATAACGTCAACACCTGCGTGTGAACACCTGCGTATGAACACGTGCTTTTTATTTCGTTGATTAGTTATCATGGATGAGTAAAAAATGACGCATAACATTTCAATATATTCAGTCGGCTAGCCTTGTTGGTTCTCATAGAAGTTAAAGTTGAATAACAGCAGAATGAACAAAAGGAACAGACTAAATTGATGTTGGGTTATCAAGTAACCCTTATCATGTTGACAAGCAGATCTCAAATGGAGGCAAAAATCCACTATCAATTACTTTCGAAGAATGAATAAATCTTAATGTGGCAGAATTTTGAAGCATTCTAAGAAAAATACAAGCTAAATCAACTAAAAATTGTTGATTTTTGTAATGTCGCTTCATACAACCTTCAAAGTGTTGTGCTACTAGAGGTCTGTGTCGCCGATCGCTCAACAGCAGGAAACGGACTTGCATTTCAATAAGTTTCCGAATCATTTCCATAAATGTATGTGTAAATATGTAAGTACATCGATAACTGAACTTACCTGGGCTCAAAGGTCTGCTGTGACTCGGAGAGGGATTATAAACGGGGACCGGAGAAACGGTATGCTGCCTAACGCCCAAAACTTGTTCATTGTAGTGTCTCTCTTCTTCCATTTCTAAGGAACTTTCGCTTTCAGAGAGATGGCGACACAATGCCTCGCGTCTCTCTACTTCCAATTGCAATTTCCGCTGAAGCCTGAAAAATAACGGGAACCCCAACTCAAACAAGAAAATAAGGCATTCTTCAAAGAAGAACACAAAGAGTTGCATCAGCTGAAGTTTATGCATATGTTAAGTGGTCTGTGGAATCCTATTATCACAGGAGCCAAGTTACCTGTGAGGTTGAGCCATCGTTACAGTTGAAGTGAAATGTAGTTGTTCCAGGGAAAGATATACAGGTCCAAGACTGCAAATGAGTCTGGAGCAGGAATATACTCTAAACACCCAGACACTGAAGAGTTGCATCAGCTGAAGTTTATGCATATGTTAAGTGGTATATGGAATCCTATTATCACAGGAGCCAAGTTACCTGTGAGGTTGAGCCATCCTTACAGTTGAAGTTAAATGTAGTTGTTCCAGGGAAAGATCTGGTATACAGGTCCAAGACTGCAAATGGGTCTGGAGCAGGAATATACCCCAAACACTCAGAGACTAACCTCAACTACTCATTGGGGAAGTACACCTCCGTTTCTCAAGCAGAATTGAGGCTTGCAGCTCTTCAAGGTTATTATTGTCTCTCTTGAATACTTCGTCTTTCAAATATCCAAAAAGGCAGAAATCCAAAGGCGTCAAATCTGGAGAACGTTTGGAAAAGAAGGATTAACTCCTCTACTTATCACACGGTTGCCATAAAATTCTTGTAAATATTCTAAAGTTGCACCTGTGGTGTGGGCAGTGGCCACATCTTGCTGAAAATAGCCATAGCACTATCAATGGTGAAAGGTACAGACAAGTGATGTTAGAACCATTCATCAATCAACTTGATGATGCAGAAATTCGAGTTGGCTATTTTCAGCAAGATGTGGCCACTGCCAACACCACAGGTGCAACTTTAGAATAATATTTAGAAGAATTTTATGACAACCGTGTGATAAGTAGAGGAGTTAATCCTTCTTTTCCAAACGTTCTCCAGATTTGACGCCTTTGGATTTCTGCCTTTTTGGATATTTGAAAGACGAAGTATTCAAGAGAGACAATAATAACCTTGAAGAGCTGCAAGCCTCAATAATACATTGCTGCCAAAATATTGGCCCGGAAATGCTGAGGAACATTTTCGACAACAAACGGCGAAGAGTTTTGAAATGCTTGGAGAACAACAGAGAACATTTTGAACATTTGATGTAGGTTAATGAAATAAACCTTTATGTATTACTGCTTAAATACATATTTTTGATTTGTTCCATTATTTTTCGAACTCCATTGGACTCTCCTTTCTTTGAGATACATTTCCATAGTGTATGCAAAACGATATAAAGGAGATTCTGTATGGTATGTGATCACTTCCTTTCTTTTTGGTCGTTAAATGTTGTTAACAGCATTAGAAGAAAGCGGCAAATGGAAAAAATGTCAACAGCCACTACGATGTTACGATCATTTATAGAGACCCTGTACAAAAATAGTAGATTGTTTTATTAGGATCAAAAGTGACACTTTGTTTGACAAGCGAATTTTGCATTTGCGAGGCGGAGCGTTTAGCGAAGCCGAGCGAAAGCAAAGTTGCGAGTCGAACAAAGTCACTTTTGATCCGAATGAAACATGCTATTTTTTCTGCAACCGAAACAATTAACTCAAATAAACATGTGAAGTAACCACCAATGCCGTGCCATAAGTATGCAATGCAACAAATATTGACAAATAATCCATGTTGTGAGAATATTCTACCTGCATTAACAGCAGGTTAGGTTTTCTAAGATGTTCGAATTGTAGTTTCAATATAAGTACAACCACAGAGTGACATATTTGTGTATGGACCAGGTGCTCTAATGGCAAATACCGCGCCAGTGCCAGCTATAGGAACAAGACGTGGAAAATGTTAGGTTAGTGAGCATATCAACAATGATAATAGAGATTAGAGATTATTTATTCCTCTCCATACTACACTGTGTTAGACTTGATAATCAAATGAAGCTAAACAATATCGTTGTTTGAGACAAAAGAACAATTGCTTGCCGTGATTATTCAAAAACAAGTTATCCATCCCGAGAATAACGAATGAAATACAGATCACGCAAGTATTTGAATCTTGAAGGCTTCCCTGATCAAAACAAAAATACTTAACTGAGATGTTTATAATTTCAATACTAAACTAAAATAAGGTGTATTTATATCTCCAGCATGGGTATGAAATGCCAAATCTGCTGAAATCGGAAACAAATCAGGTATGCGTCTCAACCCAAATAACCAACTGTCCCAATGTTAATGTTGTTTATTCTTGATGACGTCCAGTAGATCCTTTTTAGTTCCTAGGAGCTAAAGTTCAACTTTAGCTCCTAGGAACTAAATATGTTGCCTAGCAACATACCTATTTTTGTGTCAGTAATAGAAACGTCAATTTAAGAGCTAATTTTGGTATCAAAATGGACGACTTTTGTGTCGGTTGCAGAAAATAACTATTTCCTCCGTCACTACCAAAGCCTACCTCAAATTCTCCTCCTTGATGTTGCGCTCCTCCTGCACGTACCGCTGCATCTTCTGCGAATGCTCCTGCTGGCTGACGGCCAGACTCGAGCGCAGCCGAGCCACCTCCGATCTGAGCGTCTGGATGTGCGCGCTCAGATTGGAGGCGGCGTCGCCGTTGCTGATCTCGCGCGGACTGGCCGGATCGGAAACAGGCTGGTCCAGCTTGATTTGCAACATGCGCTTCTCGGCCTCGAGCTTGTCCATGCGCTTCCACAGCTTGTTGACCAGCGCCTCTTGCTCTTGTTCCAGCGTGTTCTCCAGTTCGACCTGGTGGGATTTTGTACGTGAAACTGTTTCGCTTATCGTTCGAGTTGGGTAGTTGAAATGGGATTTTATTGAAACCCATTATTGCCCCTTTGGATCGGTAACGACCCAATATGTAGAGGTTATTCTCTGGTAGTAGTCCATGCTCTAGTTCAAGTTCAAGTTTATTTCGTCATTTTTGATACAAATTGTATATGTGACACGTCGAAAACAAAAACAAAAAACAAATATACAAACAAAGTACTCATGAATAGTACAGCAAATACATCATATTAAGAGAGGTTCTCATACTCTCTGAGGGAGTAAAAGCAACTTGTTAGAAGATATTCTTTGAGGAGCTTTTTAAATTTCACATGGTTTTTTTCTTCTTTGATGGTTTGGGGAAGTAAATTGAAATATTTTGTTCCTGAGTAATTTGGGGATTTTTTATACCCGCAATAGTTACATTTGGTCAAATGGAAATCATTTCTGTTCCTTGTAAAATGATGATGGATTTCTTTATTCTGCATGAAAGATACGGAATTTAAATGAACATAACTTAGCGTTTTATAAAGGTAAATGCATGGTAGTGTAAGAATACGGTTATTTTTAAATGTTTCTTTGCAAGATTCTCTATATTTGACATCAAAAATCAGACGCAAAAAACGTTTTTGCATAATGAAGATCCGATTTACATCTAATGCTAGTCCCCAAATGGAAATATTTATTCTTATTTTGGAATATACCAATGCATAGTAAATGTCCAGTAGATTATGATTCGTGAAATTCGACTTCAATGTTAGCGTAATAAGCGTAATAAGTTTTTTTTAATGTTGTGCATAGGTATTCAATATGTTTGTTGAAAGATAATTTACAATCCAGTTGTGTTCCAAGGAATTTTATAGAGTCTGATAATTCTAATCGCGGATCAATAGGAAGTGGACGATAGTATTTGTTTGAAAATTGAATGAACGTTGTTTTATCCAAGTTGTTTATCAAATGGTTACATCTACAGCATACTTCGAATTCATCAATGACAGTTTTTATTTTATTATTCATTTCGTTTGGACTTGGGGAAGCTACAATGAACCTCTAATTGGAGGTGATAATATCGAAAATTAAGAATAGAAAATCTTCTGGTATGGATGAGATACCGGCCTTTGTAATAAAAAAAGTTCTACACATAATCATAAAACCGATAACTTACCTAGTAAATATGTCATTTGAATATGGGATTTTTCCCTCAAAGCTGAAATTGGGAAAGGTTACCCCTATTCAGAAAAATAAAAAAACTGAATAGTATCGAAAACTTTAGACCTGTCACTGTACCGCAAACTTTGTCAAAGATTTTTGAATATTCTTTTTTGGACCGAATGTTACATTTCATAAATAAACAGTTTTATGTGACTTAAGCAAGGCTTTCGACTGCGTTAATCATCTAAAACTACTAGATATTATAGAATCTTACGGTTTTAGAGGAAAGCCTCATAGTTGGTTGAAAACTTTTCTTGAGAATCGAAGCCAATGCGTTGCTTTAAGATTTGAACATAATGATTCGATATCACTAGTGACATCAGAAATAGGATCGGTATGTATGGGTGTTCCTCAGGGATCCATATTGGGACCGATTCTCTTCTTGTTGTACATCAATAGATTTGAAGCTATTATATTATACTCCACTCAGATTTCGTTGCGTACGCGGACGGTATATCCATCTTAAAGTCATCAAATGATACATTTTTATTAAAACAAGAAACCGAGAAATTACTAGACGCCGCTTGTAACTTTTTCAATAACCACGATCTATATTTCAATGGTAAGAAAACCCAAGTAATTCGTTTTCATAACTATAAACAGCTATCAGTTGAATTTCAACTGGATTTCAATAAAACAGTCTTGTCCGATAAAGATACAGTTAAATTTCTTGGAATTTACTTCGATAAACACGTCAACTGGGTGTCACACTGTGAGGGTCTAATCTCAAAATTACACTCATCCTATTGTTGGTCAGCTCGTAAATATCTATTAGGTATGCACAAATTGAATCGCGCCTTCGTTATGGCATCTGCTTGTGGGGCATCTCTACCAAGTCAAAAGATGTTTTCATTGCTCAAAAGGCAATTATGAGGTGCATTTTCAACATTCCTCGTAGAGAAACTTGCAAACAAATTTTTCAATCCTGTAATATTTTGACTCTCGCTAGTTTATACATATTTGAGATTGCATGTTATATTTATTGCAACATAACCTATTTCAAACTTAATAAAGACATTCATAACATGAATACTCGCCAGAAAGGCCTAATTCATACACAAATTCGAAAATAAAAAGTAGCTCAAAATGTACCTTCATAGGACCACGTATTTTCAATCTGAGAATATTAAATCAAGTTAAACACTTAAAGTTTTCAAAACGCGCCTCAAAACATTTTTGGTGCAACATTCTTTTTATACTGTGCAAGATTTCTTGGATTGTCCGGTACGATATTTTATTTTGTACTGTATTTCGTTTCTGTATATCTATGTATTGTGTGTTTTATGTATTTTTCAAAAATGTTGACGTTTCCGACACAATGTATAATTGTCTAAAGGAATAAAGATTTGATTGATTGATTGCCCCCTAGATCGGTAACGACCCAATATGTAGAGGTTATTCTCTGGTAGTAGTCCATGCTCAAATTGGAGGTGATGAGATAATTAAGAGAACAGACTCAAAGTCTCACTTCAAGTAATTTCAATAAAATACGATACGTGCTACATGTTTCGACTCCTAGGAGTCATCATCAGGCTAAAATATAAATAAAAGAAGTTCCATCACTATTGTGAAATGGGTGACATACCTTGCTAGGTAGGAGGAGAAAAGAAAACTAAAATTAATAACATGGTTCACAAGGGTTTTAGGCCCCAAATCATTTCAAAAAACATTTTTGAATTTGGGTTTTTAGAACCCCCAGATAAACATTTCTCTCAAGATGCTTCATTTTTTCATCAAAAAACTATCATAGTGTGAAGCAAATGGCGCGAGTATGAAGTAAACAAACCTTCAGACTACTTGATTAGAATGATAAAAATGGTAGATGAAAATTATTTTTTGACAAACAAGTGACAAATGTCATCTATCAAATACACAAAACATTGAAGTTGACTCAATGGACCATACCATCAAAGTTCATAACAAAACAAGAACATGTGTCTAGATTGACTAAACACACTTTTAAATACCCGACTTAGTGCTCTTGTCATAATGCAAGGTATGTAACTTGATGAATCTAAACATTCAAAAACACTAACAGTTGCCATTTGTCCGAACTCTTAATTTTGGGGAATTATAATTATCATCAGTTCCAGAGATTTCGCCATCTAACGGGTGAAATGCGACTTATATTCCGCGATATTGAAAAGAATCCTTCTGTCAAATAGGCCGTAGGTGAAGAAATTTGACCGAATAACAGTAGATGGCTTTCGCCACCGAAGATCTACTGGAGATCTACTTGCCTACGTCACCCATTTATGGCAATCTTCAATAGAAAAACACGGGGAATCTCTAGCTGTCGCGTTGGACATATCGAAAGCATTCGACCGTGTTTGGCACGAAGGACTCCTCCACAAGCTACCATCATACGGCTTACCACCTCAGCTATGCCATCTCTTATCGAGTTTTCTTTCAGGCAGATCGCTTCACGTGGTAGTGGACGGTGTATCGTCAGATACCATTGGCATCAATTCCGGCGTTCCACAAGGATCAATTTTGGCACCAACATTATTCCTGCTTCATATCAATGATCTGTTGGGAGTAACAACTTGCCCCATCCACAGCTTTGCAGATGATAGTACCCTCCATACTGCTTTCTCTTCCAGAATTCCCATTTCTTCCCAGGAAACTAAGACCTCACGGCGCAGGCAGGTCAATGCTGTCAATGAAGATCTTGCTGGAATCACAGCCTGGGGAACAAACAACCTAGTTGAATTCAACGCCACCAAAACTCAAGCCTGCATTTTCTCTAGAAAGGCGGAACTCAGTATGCCCGATATTGTAATGTCTGGCTCCACCATCCCCACCAAGCCCACCATATCTATGCTCGGTATTTCCATCAGCAACACTCTATCATGGGATAATCATGTCAGATCCATCGCAAAAGCTGCTTCCCAAAAACTCGGATTCTTGTTCCGTGCGAAAAACTACTTTACACCTCAACAGCTTCTCATGATCTACAAAGCGCAGATACGGCCTGTTCTAGAATACTGTTCCCACATATGGGGTTCAGCACCAAAACATACGCTGATGCTCTTAGATTCCATCCAGAGAAGAGCCATTCGCCTGGTGGGTGACGCCACACTCACTCACTCTTTGGCATCATTAGAACACCGTAGAAAGGTCGGCGACCTTTCACTTTTCTATCGATACTTCCACGGGAAATGTTCTTCGGAAATCTCAGCTATCGTCCCTTCACTGGCAATACCAATCAGACGAACTAGACAAGCCCAGTCAGCACATCCTTTCGTTGTCAACCTCGAAAGATGCCGAACAGCACTTTATCAAGACTCCTTCATCCATAGAACGGCTAGGCTCTGGAATTCATTGCCTGTGGAAGTGTTCCCAACAACATATAATCTCCAAAAGTTCAAAAAAAATTCCAATACCTACCTCCTGTCCCTATCCTCCCTAGGAACGCACGATGTTCTTTGAACATTATAGGGATTCCCTCTCGTGCGCTCCAAGCGATAAAAAAAAAAAAAAAAAAAAAAAAAAGATGGGATTTGATAGGAGTTTCAAAACCATCTTCTGTTCATCCTGCTCCTGGCATAAATTGAAAGTTAGACATGTTCTCCCGTAATTTTTAATGTCATCACAACGTCATGTAATGACCTTGGCGACCGCGAAATATACCTACCTGCCCAATGACATACCTTCTCTCGTCTGAGTTGTTCGAGGTTGCTCTGCTTTGCGAGCGTCTCCGCCTCCAGCTTCTCGATCTTCCTCATCAGCCGATTGACGAGGCACTCCTGCTCCTGCTCCAGCGTCTGCTCGAGCCGGCACTTCTCCTGGCGTAGCTGCGTCAGCTTCCTGGACAGATCGTTGGTGAGGCACTCTTCTTCCCGCTCATAGTGGTGCGCGAGAGATTCCTTTTCTTTCTTGAGCGCTTGGATCTTCTTCAGGAGAGTGTTGGAGATGAACTCTTCTTCTTGTTCCGCTTTAGCTTGCTGCAATGCATGGAGTTTTGTGATACCTATCAAATGTTTATCACAAAAAGGAATGTAATGTATGACGAAAATTTTGGACACCAGAACCTACTATAAACGACCATATGTAATTTTTATGGAAATTTAATAACCTCAAACCTTCTAATTGTTCAAACAGTTAAATACTACTTCAAAGCTGAATAAAGCTTTCACCACGGCTTTCACATTGACTAGAAATAAAAACTGATCAAATAAAAAAATATCTGAAATATCAGTTACAGCAAATGAAAATCTGATGTTCCTTCTGGCTGACAGTAACGAGATAACTGCATTTGAAGATACAATTTGTGAATTAACTGAAGTCGATGGAGAAAAAGGATTCATTAGTGGAAAAAAAGAAAAAAACATTGCACTATATTTGCAGTTTTTTCACTTATGAAAGAGCTGCGTCAGCTTCCTCGGCAGATCGTTGGTGGTGAGGAACTCTACTTCTCACTTCAGCCTTTGGATCTTCTTCAGGAGTGTTGGAAATGAACTTTTCCTGTTGTTGAGCATTAGCTTGCTGGAATGCATGAATAGAGCACTCTCCATGGCGTAAAAATGTCGGCCATTGAACAGCTGATAGAAAGAGCATAAACATTTTCCGTAAGGGTACATGTAACTTTCTTGCGCATTTTCCACTATAATACAATAGAATGAGTCCAAGGAAGAGTTCAAATTGGTTTATTTGTCAATTTAAGATTACTAGATTGACTTGAAGTTCAGTTCTAATATACCTAATAGTATACCATTTAATGACGTCAAGTGACACTGAGGTCTGTTCATTTCTGTCTCTGGCGATGCTTAGAGCTAGCTTAGAGCAAGCTGATCAAATCAGATCAATGACGTCACAAAGCGCATTTGTAGTATATTGGGGTAGAAAAAATTAGCAAAGTGCATTGGCTACAAACAAACACTTTTGACTCAGCCTCAAATATTTTTGCGGTTGATAATCAATTATGAAATTCTGATAATGAGATGGAATGTAGAGACATGAAAAATCAATCAATTTTTATGATGGGATTTTTTTCCAAACCCACTAGACGACCCTCTGGAATAACAATAATGCATGATTTCCACAACAATATGTTTTCTTACCTTGTTATACCTATATACTTCGTTTTAAAAAAATAATATTCATTACCTATCAGTTGGTGAAACTCTTGACATTTTTGAAATAATTGTAGTTTTCAACTCAATTTGCTTTTTTTTCAGGTTATTGTAATTTGTAACCAACTAAACTGATCTGCTTTTCTCGCTGGACAATGTTGTTTCTTTATGGTAATCTAATAATATTAAATCTTCCATTTTTGTTCAAAATGTTAGAAACTACTTCAAAGTAGCTAAATTAAGCTTTCACATACATACAGATCAAAGAATCTGGCCTAGTAAAGAGAATGTGCAAAAAATATCTGAAAGATGTGGAAACAATGAAAAAAATATTGTACTATAATTCCACTGTTTCTCCAGTTATGAAACACTCATAGTGATCCTTCTTCAGTGCTTGACTCTTCTTCAGGAGGATGTTGGAGATGAACTCTTCTTCTTGTTCTGCTTTAGCTTGTTGGAAACCAAGAATTATGTTTTCCTGCATTGAGTACAATGATACCTACCAAAGTTCATTTCACAGAAATCAATGTAATGTATGAGACTCAGTATGAAACCTATGAAGTACTTGTGAAGGACCATGATGTTCTAAAAAAAAATTTTGTATAATATCAAATCTTCAATCTGTCCAAAGAAGCTAAACTGAGCATTCATAAAGATAAGGAATGAAAAATCTGATCTACTAGAAAAATGAGAGTACCCTAGCAGACTATTCAGATATAGTAAAAAAAATCTGACCTTTCTCATGGTTGACAGCTATGAGAATACTGCTCACAAAATTTCAAGGTATCATTTGTGAACTAACTGAATTTGGTGGACAAAATTCAATACTGACAAAACTGGGTAATTTTCATCCTATCATTTCACTCTCTAATTCTACTTATGAAAAGCTATGAATCAGACAATGAATTGGAGCTTTGCCAACCATCCTCTATTTCAGAGGACCATTCTTATTGATATTCACTTACTTTTGAGTTGACAAAGGATGATTAATGTCCTTTAAAACCAAACAATAATAGTTCAAAAGTCTGATACACTTATTTAGTGGAATGAAAATTTCCAATTCATAATTCCATTTATTTCTTCATTTCTAAATGGTAAATCAGATAGGAATAGTTGAAAATACTAGTGAAATCCTTTCAACTTGACTTGACTTATATCAGAAAATACCTATAATTCTCCTGCTCCATGGGCTTTTGATGCCAAACAGAAAAAATAATCATCACATATTAATTTACTCTATATCTCTACTACAATATCTCAGAGAGAAAAAAAAGATTGTATTTAGGTAATGCTAAGGGTGAATATATTGTACAAATCATTGCAGTACTCACTACTTATCCAATAATCCCATTCTATTCAAGTGATTTTTTCTTATAAAGATAGAATAATAATATAATGTCAGCAACTGATTTGTAACATATTTTTTAATGACTAAATAGATATAGGAACAACTATTCAATTCGAGAGTTTATATATTCAATGATGGTTTGATACCTTTTACTTATGAAGAAATTTTGTAGCATTGGTCATACTCAGGTGTTATTGACCAATGAAAAATTTTATTGCAAAAACTTACACCACCTTTTTCATCAAGATTTTCATGGTTGGTCATGAGGCTGATAACTATACATTTACCAATGATGTATCATCATTGATTCATTACATGGTCATCAATATAGTGATTATTTTTCTGATTGTAATTTCCTAGATTAACTTGGAATTTGCATGAAAAAAAAAAGATGAATGCAAAAATAAGTATTTTGGTTAGTATGATCCTTTAGGTGGTTATCCTACCAACATAGGATTTCAATAACCTTTTCTGGGAATACTGTTGAATACCAACAATATAATATTCATAGAATGAATAAAATGGAAAATTTTTCAATACAATAAGGCTTTTTGGGTGTCAGTTTGTCATCAAAGTGATATAAACCAGAATACATTTTCATTGTCCAAATATCAAGTTTATAAACCACCCAAATAGCAAAAAAAAATCAGTAATTTATATCTCCTTTGAATTAGAAATACCAGTGTGAATAGATTCAGAATCCTTGTGAAATTTTGTGTTGATCTAGATTACTTTTGATGAGAAATCCAACAATTCTTGGATAAGAGATATAAATGTGTATAGATTGAGAGTCCTGAGACATTTTATGTAGATCTAGATAGTTTCAAACTTGGTTTCAAATGAGAGAATAAGCAATTTTCCTAATGGTACAGAATCAGCTATAGAAGGATCATCTGGACAATGTTGATGAGTTCTTATCATATAAAATGAGAAACACTAGCCCATAACAATACTGGAGACAATACCCAAGAGTTGCTGTTGTAAATATTTCAAAATCTTCTTTCATTCATCTATAAATTGTCTGCCAGTTACTAAAAGATTGTCATGGAGATTGTTATTATAATTGAGATGGTCATTATGATCTATATCTACACAAAAATATGGAATTAATAATAATTATTAACAATTTAGAACAGTTTTTCTACAAATGACATATTTTCATATTTTTTGTTATCCCAATTTCTTAATGAAAATATACTCACTATTATTACAGATGCTTTACGCAAATCTCTATTTTCTTCCTGTAAAGCTTTCACCCTCAGCTTGTATGTCTCTAGCTCACATTTGAGTACTCTATTCTGCTGTTGAAGACTCTCTATGCGCTTTTGCAGTTGTTCTCTAGTGACCGGGCTTGGCGGCATCATGATGGGGCCCCCATCTATGCTGCTCGAGTCCGATTCACTAGCAGAATCTGCCATCTTCTCCACTATGACTATTTGTCGAGACAGCCTGACAACAAATTTATTGTTTTTTTATTAGTCAATAATCTAGCGAATTTAGATGCAGAATCTGAAAGACGAATGGAACATTTTTTTAGGTAGAATACCGAATGTCAAATTCACAATTGACCACCAAAAAGACCGAAACCGGACCAAACACCAACTGACACGACTAGTTTAGTTTATAAATATCACAGAATAAGGATTATAAATGAACGCCGAACAATGAAAAATGCAAGTTCATGAGGAAATACAAGAAAAATTCGGAAAAATTATTCTTTTACGACGGTTCTTCGAAAAGTGGAAGTGGTAGAACGGTAAGGAAATGGAAAAGGAAGGGAGACGAAGAAACCACAAAGCACTTGGAACCAATTGATATGTCATTGTACATTATGACAGATGACAATGCCACTATTTTTGTTTTACGCCACAATATTTGAACTCTCAAGTTACAACAGAACACAACCCACAACCATTTTTTTTGCTCTCACTGGCATATAATATCAACTCCATACATATATCCTCTTCGAACATTATAGGGATTTCCTTTCGTGCGTTCCATGGAAAGATGTATTTTTCCAGGCTGTGACAATAGAAAAAAAAAGAAGAAGAAGAAGAAGAAGAAGAAAAAGAAGAAGAAGAAGAAGAAGAAGAAGAAGAAGAAAAAGAAGAAGAAGAAGAAGAAGAAGAAGAAGAAGAAGAAGAAGAAGAAGAAGAAGAAGAAGAAGAAGAAGAAGAAGACGAAGAAGAAGAAGAAGATGAAGAAGAACCGATTCTCTGCTCTGCAACCTTCTATTACAATCTCCTCACAATCTCCTACAAGTTGGGTATTTGTCCATCGAAAATAGCTAGAGTCCAACAAATTTCATTGCAAATCCCCAATAAAGAAAACAAGAACGATGTCTAACAACTATAGGCCATTTGCCCTGTTACCGGCCATCTACAAAGTGATGGAGAAAGCCATCAACAATGAGCTCATCAAATATCTGGACAGCTCGAAATCATTAATGATAAACAATATGGCTTTCGCCACCCAAGATCAACTGCATGGAGATTTACTTGCCTACGTCACCCTATCGTTGTCTCCAAGTGAGATGTTTATAACCATTTTATACCTAACTAAAGCATCTCATCTCCATGGATAGATATCCACCTTTTCTCCAAGAATGTCTGTGATTCATAGTGGAAAATTACTCATGATAACAGGAAAATTTAAAATATCGAAGGGTCTATAAGTAGCTGGAGCTATAGTCGTGATGATATCATCAAATTCCATTTATTTATGTACTGTTTCAATAAATCCTGAGTTCCATAATTTACTTTTACTATACAAATTATCATTAGCTCTACCAACCTTAGTTTTCTAGGGAAACATTGGAGGAGTCATTTTACATTGTTCTTCAGCGCATGTTATAGCCGTTTAGGATTACTTCGGCTATTTTATGCTAGATGGCTGTAGCATCCAGTGTATTGTGCGATGTATATTGTACCCTTGATTATTTACTGTAGTCTATTTATTGTATAAAATCACTGTAGTCTAGTTTACAGTGAAGAGTCTGATATAGTTCTAGTTTACTGTAGCTGTAGTCTACATAGTTATATCCAATATTCCTGCTTCTTCATGCTTCATGGGAACTCTGGGACACAGATTAACAAACCTTATTTGTTAATCTGTGACTGGGGTTCCCATCAACCTGATGATGGACTTTTTTCATTAATTGAAATTCAGAGAATGAACATAATAATTATATATGCATGCAATCCTAGAAATGGGCTTTACTTATTAGTAGGTAGGTACTTGATACAATTTTGCGCTGTGTTGGGCCAATCTTTATTTTTATCTATTGGAGCGCACGAAAGGAAATTCTTATAATGCTCGAAAAACATCGTGCGAACCTATGAAAGATAGGGAGGAGAAGTAGGTATTGGCATTTTTTAAAATTTCTGTAATGCTTTATTGAAACTGAAAAAAGCATAGATATATCTCACCCCTTTTTTATCATCACCCTCTGGAAAAAAGGAAAGAAATGATCCCTGATAAATTCAAATTTTTCGACAATATAGAAATATTTGAAAGTGAAGAGTGAAAGGTATGTATAAATATCTATAATTAACTTTTATTCGGTGTTTTATCCTCATAAATATTAATATATAGGTCTCCATAATTTCAATATAATTAAAATAACTTATAGCTATACCTACACTCTATTTCTTTTGTATATTATACCTATACTTATATCCTTGGAAATATTAGTGGGATGCAGTCTGGACCAATGGATTAATTAAATTTCTTCGTTATTTGTCGAGCTTTCGAAAATTTTTATTTTCTTTATCAAGACTAACTGAAAACATCGAATGGAACAATATATAAATGTACATCAATTGAAATTGGTATACTTACAAACATGAAATTCTATATAAAATTAGCACAAAAAGGAAACATAGGTGTATAAATAAAATGAAATGATTTGACAAAAAAATGTCATAGATGATGGTTGACTCATTTGAAGATGTTGAATACAGAGTGAGATAAATACTGATATATATAAAAATACTGATATATAAAAAATGTTTGTAGATTATATATAAAACATGAATCATTCAAGGAGGACGAGTTGATTTATTATCTTTTTGTTTCTTTAGAAGGAATGTATAAATGGTACTAAGATCGTTGATGTCTGTTCTTTTGTTCATCGTTTTATCATTTTCATTAATATGTACCATTTCAAGAAAGAGGCGTTTGTTGAGATGTTTTTCATAATCCAGAATTTTGGCATTATCATAATTCATTATATGATCTTCATCTATAACATGTTCAGCAAGGCTACATGATTTTAAATTTCTTCTACAATCACTTTTATGTGAAGTGATTCTGTCTTTTAACATTCTACAAGTTTGACCAATATAAACTAGATTACAATTATTGCAGGGAATTTCATAAATAATATTCGATCTATTTTTGACTGGTACAGGAGTTTTCAATTTGGTATGAAGATGAAATATTGTTTTCAAATTTGTTTTAGCGAATTTAATATTTGTTTCATTTTTAAAGAGACTGATTAATTTGGGAGTTAGATCAATTATGTGTGGTAAAGATTTGAATATTGAAATTTGATTATTTCTTGGTAGGGGAACGTCAACATTAAATGAACTGAAAATAATTTTATTAACTAATGATTTTGGATACGAATTTTCGATAAGGATGTTTCTTAATTCTACTAGACATTCATTTCTCAAAGTTACGTGGGTGACTTTTTCTACTCTATTTTTGAGGTTACGTATTAAGTTAATTTTCATTTTCATTGGATGATGTGAATGGTAATTAATAAAACGATTACTATTGATTGGTTTCCTGTACCATCTAGTTATAATTATATTATTGTTCGTTCTAATCAATTTCATATCTAGAAAAGGAACTGATTGATCAATTTCTTTTTCAACAGTGAATTGAATATTAGTGTTAAAGCTGTTGAAAATATTGAGAATCTCATCAATGCAATTTTCTGGTACAGAAAGAATTAGATCGTCTACATATCTTTTCAAAAATGGAATATCGAAGGTAATTTTATCTATGCAATAATCAAGGAGTTCATCTAAAACATAGCTAGATATTATTGGAGAAATGCTCGATCCCATAGGAGTACCAAATATTTGTTTATAAAATTTATCATTGAAAACTAGACATGTAGAGTCAAAAATGAAATCGATTATTTTCATGAACATACCTTTTTCAATATTACAAAAATTGTTAATTGAATCCCATTTCTTTTCAATACAAAGCTTAACTAGTTCTAGTGGTAAGTTTGTAAATAAAGATACAACGTCTAGGCTTATTAGAACGTAATTAGGTGGTAACTGAAAATTATTAATGAATTCACTGAAAGAAAAAGAATCACTCACATGATAAGGAGTGTTGTTGTCGTAGGCACTGGTCAATATTTGAGTTAATAAATTTGTAATTTTACTGTTTGGTGAATCTATAGATGAAATAATTGGTCTCATAGATAAAATTGGCTTATGTATCTTTGGAAGAGTATAAAATCGTGGTGTAACTGAATTATAAATTGTGAGTTTCTTAGCATTAATTTCTTCTATCATGTTTTTATTTTTCAATTCAGAAACAATTTTATTAGCTTTCTGTTGTAATGTACAAGATGGATCTGCTCTGATTGGTTTATAATATTTAGTATCATTGAGTAGAAGTTGACTTTTTCTTATGTAATCATCTTTGTACATAACACTGACATAACACATGAAAATAATCGATTTCATTTTTGACTCTACATGTCTAGTTTTCAATGATAAATTTTATAAACAAATATTTGGTACTCCTATGGGATCGAGCATTTCTCCAATAATATCTAGCTATGTTTTAGATGAACTCCTTGATTATTGCATAGATAAAATTACCTTCGATATTCCATTTTTGAAAAGATATGTAGACGATCTAATTCTTTCTGTACCAGAAAATTGCATTGATGAGATTCTCAATATTTTCAACAGCTTTAACACTAATATTCAATTCACTGTTGAAAAAGAAATTGATCAATCAGTTCCTTTTCTAGATATGAAATTGATTAGAACGAACAATAATATAATTATAACTAGATGGTACAGGAAACCAATCAATAGTAATCGTTTTATTAATTACCATTCACATCATCCAATGAAAATGAAAATTAACTTAATACGTAACCTCAAAAATAGAGTAGAAAAAGTCACCCACGTAACTTTGAGAAATGAATGTCTAGTAGAATTAAGAAACATCCTTATCGAAAATTCGTATCCAAAATCATTAGTTAATAAAATTATTTTCAGTTCATTTAATGTTGACGTTCCCCTACCAAGAAATAATCAAATTTCAATATTCAAATCTTTACCACACATAATTGATCTAACTCCCAAATTAATCAGTCTCTTTAAAAATGAAACAAATATTAAATTCGCTAAAACAAATTTGAAAACAATATTTCATCTTCATACCAAATTGAAAACTCCTGTACCAGTCAAAAATAGATCGAATATTATTTATGAAATTCCCTGCAATAATTGTAATCTAGTTTATATTGGTCAAACTTGTAGAATGTTAAAAGACAGAATCACTTCACATAAAAGTGATTGTAGAAGAAATTTAAAATCATGTAGCCTTGCTGAACATGTTATAGATGAAGATCATATAATGAATTATGATAATGCCAAAATTCTGGATTATGAAAAACATCTCAACAAACGCCTCTTTCTTGAAATGGTACATATTAATGAAAATGATAAAACGATGAACAAAAGAACAGACATCAACGATCTTAGTACCATTTATACATTCCTTCTAAAGAAACAAAAAGATAATAAATCAACTC